GATCCGTCTCACGTACTAAGTACGGTGTGCGCGAAACACTTGATTAGAGCCCTCCCGATACACGTTGGCATATTGGGGATTTCTTCTGCTCACCATAACAAACAATCATTTTCTCACCATAACGAAGAAGGAGAAACAGAGAAACGAGAATGAGGTTCCTCGTCGGCTTCACTGTTTTACTTACCTCCGTCATCGCTCTCTTAATCTACGGCGCCACTTCACCGGCGAATCTTACCGGCGACGATTTCAAGTTCCCTGCCCCTTCTATCATCCGCGTCTTCTTCAACGGCGCCAGTTCACCGGCGAATCTTACCGATCGAACATACTCGCTCCACTACGACTACTACTGTGAATCTTGCCCCAGCGTTACCGCTCCTTCTATCATCCGCGTCCTCTTCTCCGATGCTTCATTGAGGTAAGATTTTCTCATTTTTGGTTCTCCGTTTCTTCTACATTTTGATTTCGCTACTATCTGTCTACGGGTGATTGTTTGGGATCTCGTTTCGTTAGTGTTGTGTTGTGATCTATCTGTCTCAGAATTTTGGCTGTGGAATCTCTGATTTGATGTTATTAGCATAATTTGTTAATGGAATGCTGTGTTTCTTTAGCATTTACTTGGATTTTTGCTCACGTTAAAATCATAATTTGTGAATCGAATTCTGTGTTTCTTTAGCATTTACTTGGATTTTTGCTCACATGTAGTGAAAATAGAAACTTAGAAGTGTGTTTCCTTTTTTCTCTATGCATTTCAGGCTTTAAAGAGTGTAAGTGTGAAGCATTATGAGCTTTGTATAGGGCAGTCAGTATTTAAGATCTTAACAAGTGTGTTTTGTGCTACAGGGATTCGCAGATGAAACACTCTCTACTGAGAACAATGCATCTCCAAACCTTTCCTTGAAAGGGTTTGATGTTATTGACGCCATTAAGTCTGAGCGGGAGTATGTTTCTCCTGGAGGTCTTTCCTGTGCCGAGCTTCCTGTCTTTCTCGAGCTTCCTCTCTTCCCTGCTAGAGAAGCCGCCCTAGTGGTAATTCTCGCTGTCTCACTCTTCTGGATTGATCATGTTGATGTTTCTACAACGCTTTAATCATATCTTTTTGATTTTCAGGCTGGTACTCGAGTATATCGTCTGGTGACTGTAAGAAATTCAGTGCAGTGGCCTTCAAGCTTCCTGCACCACAGGCTACTCTCTCTCTCCTTCTTGCAAGTGCTGCTTCCAGAGTATTCAGCGAGAGAGAAACCGTCATTTTATCCGGTAATTCTCACTTGTAAACGTTAACTTCTCTCTCTGTTTAGCTAAATCTGGTTGTATTCCGTATTCCTCACTTCTTGGAAATGCTAACTCGTTATGTTCCTAATGTAGGTGCTCACAGCTTAGGCATTAAGCACTGCACTTTTTTTGAGAACAGCCTCTACAACTTCTCAGGAACCGGGAAGCCTGACACTGAGCTAGCGGATGCTTGTCTAGGAGTTGTTTCCTGTTCCAGCCTTGTCCTGGGTGCTAGAGAAGCCGGCCTTCTGGTAAATTCTCGCCCCTCTCTTTCTCTCTTGGTTATTTTTGATTTCGCTACTATCGGTCTATGGATGGATGATTGTTTGGGATCTCGTTTCGTTAGTGTTGTGCTGTGATCTATCTGTCTCAGAATTTGACTATGGGATCTCTGATTTGATGTTGTTAGCATAATTTGTTAATGGAATGCTGTGTTTCTTTAGCATTTGGTGTTGTTAGCATATTCTGTGTTTCTTTAGCATTTACTTGGATTTTTGCTCACGTTAAAATCAGGTAGTGAAAATAGAAACTTAGAAGTGTGTTTCCTTTTTTCTTTATGCATTTCAGGCTTTAAAGAGTGTAAGTGTGAAGCATTATGAGCTTTGTATAGGGCAGCCAGTATTTAAGACCTTAACAAGTGTGTTTTGTGCTACAGGGATTCGCAGATGAAACACTTGCTACTGAGAGCAAATCATCTCCAAACCTTTCCTTGAAAGGGTTTGATGTTATTGACGCCATTAAGTCTGAGCGGGAGTATGTTTCTCCTGGAGGTCTTTACTGTGCCGAGCCTCCTGTCTTTTTCGAGCCTCCTGTCTTTCGCAAGTTTCCTCGCTTCCCTGCTAGAGAAGCCGCCCTAGTGGTAATTCTCGCTGTCTCACTCTTCTGGATTGATCATGTTGATGTTTCTACAACGCTTTAATCATATCTTTTTGATTTTCAGGCTGATCCTCGAGCATATCCTCTGGTGACTGTAAGAAAAAACATGTTGATTGTTTCGGCTGTGTTAGCTGCATCGGTTTGGGCTGTGTTAGCTGCATCGGGAATGCTGGGAGTAGGATATGTTTGGATCAAATTTCAGGTTACTATTCTCTTTCGCTTTATGACAGTAATAAATATTAGCCTCTTAACTATTCTTCCCCCCCTTGCAGAGATGGTTAAGCTCCTATCGTAGAGATATGAATGCTTTTTCCAAACATTTGGATGAAAAGATAAATGAGGCGGCGCTCAAACTTGATGAAATAGGCAGAGATGCCGAACAGACAAGAAATGTGGTTGCTGATATAAATAGTCAGGTAACGTTATCGATCTTGTTACATTTGGCTTTTTATTTTTGGTCATATCCTTGTGTAATGTTTTCTGTTATCTACTAAGTTCAGATCAGGGATTTGCGTGAAGAAATGAGAGCTGGTTTTGCACAAGTGGCCGATAGAGGTGATCAACAGTTGATTTTGGACATTCTGTCTCATATCTCTTCACAAATTGGTGTAGACGTCCAACATTTGGCGGGTGGAGGCGGTGACGTCCAGCCTGTGGCGCATGGAGGCGGTGACGTCCAGCCTGTGGCGCATGGAGGCGGTGACGTCCAGCCTGTGGCGCATGGAGGCGGTGACGTCCAGCCTGTGGCGCATGGAGGCCGTATCTTGACTATTACCCAGGGAATAAGATCTGTCTTACCAAGAATCTTCGGTCGTCAGCATTAGCGACTTATATGTTACGCAAGTCCGTCCAGTTTGTTGTCGAATGAATTCTTGGACTTGTTTCTGGTCATATGATTTGCTGAACGGTTGTTCATAGTTGAGGATTCTTCTAAGTTTGAGATTGTCTGCATTTTTTTTTGCAAAATTGAGGTGATTAGAGTAAAATGTGTGGTGAAGGATAATCCAGGAGTAGAGTAGCTTTGGTCTAAATTTCATCTTTTGATTGAATTGGGCAAGCTGAATATGATCTAATTGATCGCATCAGTATCCAAGCTTTGTTTTGGCGGTGAATACTCTGAGATGTGTAAGAATGAATCTAGAATCTAGAATGATAAAAAAATAGTCTTACTTCGAGTTCATCTACTCATCTTTGGTAAGCAGGCCACACTATCAAGTATCAGTTAAACCGGGAAGTGTTGGGTTTCAAAATTAACTTGGTAAGTTAAAAACTTAAAACACACATCCACCGTTTTTAGATAGTTATTTGCTATAAGAGGATCCCCTAATAAACCACGTTAATGTTAGTTGTCTTACAAATTCATTCATCTATAAACCAATGTATGTACATCTCAAAGTCTGTATTAACCATTTATTCGGTTTTCGGTCGGTTTTGGTCTTTATATCGAGAACAAGTGAAAACGCGAAAACTTTTTGGATATCGTTCGGATTGGTTACGTATTCTCCCAAAGTAACCAAAAAATCCAAAAATATCTTAAATACTCGAAAAACATTATAATTGTTTCATCCAATTATATTCAAATATATCAAATTTACCCAAAAAAGTATTTGATATACCCGGAAAAAATTATAGGTAAATTACCCGAATATATCCAAATCTACCCGAACTACTAAGAGTAGTTGATGTATCCGAAAAAATGAGTTTATAATTGTAGTTTTGGATATTTAGATTAATTACAAATATAATTATGATCTACTAAATTTTGTCGGTTTCCGTTCGAGTTCGGATCTTTTTTTTCGTTTTGGTTTAGGGTCGGATCTTTGGCTCCGAGTGTTTTGCTCTAACCTAGTTACAATCATTAATAGATCATAAAATAGAAATGTTATTTTCAAATAGGCTCAAGTTACATACAAGTTATGAGTTAAAATAAAGATGTTATTTCCAACGGTGATGAGTTTAAGACTATTCCAACGCCTGTACTCAAAAAGTTTCTTCAACTATTCATTAGCAGTAACGAGTTCAAATTTGAAAAAGAGAAAGAAAAAGAAAAAACGTTCTCTGTAAAATTCTCAAGTCCATCTTTAACGGTCAAATTTAGTCGGCCAGCAGACAAACTCTCAAGTCCGATCAGAAACGAGAACAAAAGAGAAGAGATTGAATTTTGGTGGCACCATGTTCAAGAGAGACGACTACATTCTGGCAGGTACTCTCTGAAGAAATCCCTCTCGGATTTCAAGAAATTTAGTGATTCTGGGGTTAGGGTTTTGCTCCATCTTTCATTCCATTGAAACCCTTTCGAGATCAACAGAATTTCGAATGAAATCTCTTGGAAATTTGATTTAAAGATCCCATTTTTAACGCCTGCAACACTTTTCTTCAACGTTTCTTTGTTGGGTCTCCAGGGATTCTGAGTAATTTCATTTGATGTTTCTGGGATTTTTTTCAGGGTTTCGCCCGATCCATGCTTCTGCGTAAACCCATTTCAGAAACTGCAGAATTACGCAAGACTTTTGCGGACTACTCCTTAATTTCTCGAGATTTAGGTCCAAAGGTCTCATTTTTAATCTCCTTCATCACATTATAACTTGTATCTTTGTTGGATAGTAGTTAACTAGGTGACTTAGTCTCATGTTTGCCGTCAAGAAGTTGGAAACACACACATTTTTTAATGTCAAAACTTATACTTTGAACACAGATTCTGATAGGAGCCAACGATAAGGACAATTTCAGAAAAGAGAAAGATCGTGTAGGTAGTAGATACAGAGTCCAAGGAGCCTTCCCGGGTCTGTATGAGCTCGGTCATGACCATGGCCGAAAAGATGATGTTCTTGTGGCTAATCTTGGTCAACCTGAAAGCATTAGATCTCGGCTCCGGTCTTAGACTACATCTTTTGCTCATCATGACTTTCTGGAGCAGGGTTTGTCTCAAATAATTCTTCCTACTGCTCATAACAAAAGTGGCAACCGAACTGAAGAGAAGAAGTATGATTCTGCAGAAGAGAGAGAGGTCAGTTCTGATGCAGCTGAGAAGGAGATTAATTCTCTTCCATCTATACTTAGACTCAGTCCGTCCAGACCTCAACCGGTTTCAGAGAGACATGATGACATTGTTGATGAGTCTGACTCTGCTTCTGTTTGTGGAGTCTTACTAGAAGATGGTACTACTTGCACTACAATTCCAATCAAAGGAAGAAAGAGATGCGCAGAGCATAAAGGGAAGAAGCTTTCACGTGTTTCCCCCGAAAATCACATACCGTGTGAAGTTCCCACCGCAAGAGAATCCAAAGAAACTGAGGATACATGTGGAGTGATTTTACCTGATATGGTACGTTGCAGAAGAAAACCTGTTTCAAGGAGAAAACGATGCGAGGATCACAAGGGAATGAGAGTTAACGCCTTCTTCTTTCTGCTGAACCCAACAGAACGTGATAAAGCAGTCAAAGAGGATAAATCCAAATCCAAGAGGCATGAACCAAGAGGGTTCAAGTCCGGGTTTTTTTTTTCTGTGAAGCTACAACAAAGAATGGTTTGCCTTGTACGAGAAGTGCTCCTGAAGGGAGCAGAAGATGTTGGCAGCACAAAGATAAAACGTTGAACCACGGATCATCCGAAAATGGTAAAATCTTTTATTTACCGTATCATACTTTAACTCTAGATAAGGTTGTATGAATTAACTAAGTAGGTGCAAGTTAATCGAACCGAATATGCATTTCTGTAAGAAGCAGCTTCATTGTTCTCCATCAATGTCTCGGTAATAAACTTTGTTGCTTTCTGCCATAATGTAGAATCTGCTGCAAACAAGCTCAATAGTCAATACGCAGATGTGTAGTTTTCAGCCTATCAACTTCTGTCTTCTCTCTCATCAATATTCAACATTGATACACATTTGTTTTAAGTAAGCATCACCCTATAACTTAATGGACCGCCTTCTCATTGTTTGCCACATCTGCTTTTGTCTACTGGTTCTGTTTGTGTTGCCTTGACACTTGAAAATCATCTGCAGAACCATTCTAAGTCATAGCAAATTAGCAATCTGAGGGTCCTGTTACTTTAGGATCCTGAACAGAAATAGTAGAGATGATGTGTATGCACTGTATCAACCTGCAAGATAGAACAACTGAGAAATTTTCTTCTGCAATTTGTATTTTCGAGTTAAGAAACCGATGAGCATGAAAATATATAGAAATCCTGAGAATCAACAATTCATCAACAATCTGTGTCTCTCACTATTTCGTAAGGTTAGTTGGGTAGTGAGAGAATCTAGAATGACATTTGCAGTTTGTTTGAGTTTGTAGCTAGTGAATTTTAGTTGACTGTGCGAAGTGAACAAGATATTAGTACTTCAGACTAAACCAGGTAATGGTTTAATTTGTGAGGTTTTTCATGATCTTGCAGTGGCTCTTTGGTAGAAAACAAGAAGCTGAAGTAGGACCGTTTTCAGCATGGAATATTACTGGCACATATAAAGGTTTGTGGCATGTCTTTCGTCATTTTTTCTATAACTTCTTGCGACTTCAGGATTATCTACTGTGTTGTGGGTATATGTCTATTGTGTTATGTTTTAGACTACTTATCAAAAGTGGGTATCTCAGGAACTTGGAAGTTTCTGAATTCCGTAAATAGCTCTTCAAAATTCCAAGACTTTCAAAAAGAAATGGTAATTCTGTCGTTGAGTTAGTGGCAGTTCCAACAAAGATAACTGGTGTGCATTATGTTCAGGTGAACAGTTCGGCTTCTAAAGTCTGTATTTTGGGATTCCCGTTGATCTTGTAGCATGCAATATTTGAGCTTATAACAACGTTCATGGATCAGGGTGTTAGTTGTTTTCCATGACGTATTTGACAATGAACAAAATGTGGGTGGTGCCCAAATAAACCTGGAAGGTGTATATATATGGCCCTTTAGGCAACTCCTCCTTGTGGCTAACAGGTACTAACTTTTGATTTATTAACTGCTCTTAAGATTTATTATTGAGTCTTAACTCCAAGGTCTGTACATCACTTGACCTAAAACAGCGGCAAAGAGAATGATTCAGGGCAAGAAGACAATAATCTTCTCTCAAATCCCTATCATCTGGTAGTCCTTCAGACTCTTGTTTCACCCACTTTAGGCAATGATAGTGCTTTCTTCTGCCGATGGCTTGTTTGATGTGTTATTAATGTTCCAAGAGCTTACTAGTGTCAACTTTCTGTTGTTGTACAGCTTGGAATTATCTCCTCTCAAGTCTTTCAAGAATCTGCAAAGAGACAGATTACTGAAACGGAAACTTTTCCAATACGGTTTACTTTTCAGCTACTCTGATCTTCGATTCTCTTGTACTTCAGCTCCAGTACTAAATGAGATGGAGAAGCACTGTAATATCGAAATAGCAGCTCAAGTATCCCGTGTGGCTTCTAGTGAAAATAGTATGCATCTGACTTTAACGTCGAGGTGATCCTGGCGTAATCTTACTTTGAGGGGCTTTTCCATATTTTGGTAGATGGAGACAAAATTATTATCGCATGGAAGGATTGATGGAGAGTCCTGGGGTACGCGATGACTGAGATTGTTTCTCGCCTTTTGTTACCGAATGCAACTTCTGTAAATGTCGAAGTCAACTATGAAATTTGTATGGGATGCTGCTTCGTCCTCCTCTGATCTCAAGTTCTATGTTTTCAGGGAATTTCTACCTCAAGACAATTGCAGGCGAGTGAAGAGCCTGTATCATCACCTTTGTCATCTCCAGCTCTGTTGGGTAGTGGAAAAGAAGATGAGCAGAAGATTATCCCAAAGCGTCAGAAAGTTCAGGCTGTCCTCAAGTCCATGAAGCAGGTGTCTTCTTTAACTCCTAGAACACTTGTACTTTTCAGATGATCCTGCTCCATTTCGTTTAATATATGTTTCCATCTCAATCTAGTTATATGGGCTGTATAATGTGCCCAACCTTGCTTGTTTTCAGAGTCCTAGGAAGGTCAACCTGGTTGCAGCACTAGTCCGTGGCATGCGTGTCAAACGGGCTTCACAAACCGTGTACCGGGTAATCTCTGAGCTCCGAGTTTTAAAAAAAAAAAACACTTTTGGAGTGTCTAGTCTAATCTCCTCTCCAGACATTTGATAACTTTCCTCATCTAGCTAATGATACTTAGCATACAACTTGTTATCTTAATGCAATGCTTAAAGGAGTTAAATACATTATAATGCAGGTTATCCACGCTGCCCTGGGAAATGCTACTCATAATCATGGACTAGATCCTGACCGTCTCCTTGTTGGTATGTACTATATAGCTAGTGATACTGGATCCATGATCTCCTTGTTTTGCTTTAAAGAAGAGAACGTGATATGTCAGAGAAAATTTGTCGATTGGTACTTTAAAGAAGTAAACATGATATGCCAGAAATTAAGATGTATTGCAGCTAAGCTTTTGATATGTGATTGCAACGTAAGCATTTGTTGGGAAGGGACTCATGAACTTACTTTATAGTTTGTACTTGATCCTGATTGCTTACCCTCCAAGTTTCCATTTGTTCTCCGAACTTCAAAATATGGAAACCACACATAAATGATTTTATCCTTCGAAAAGCTTCTGAAGAATTCGTTAAATTATCTCATTAAATAAAAGCCTGGAAAATCTAAAACCCACAAAAGCCCCTTTGAAAGAAAAGAAAAAAACCAATTAGTCGAATAAAGCCTCAAACCCTAAGTATATACAGTATATATATATATATATATTTAACCTACGAGAGCGTGTTACATACCAAACCCTACATATTATTATATAGACCTAATTAAACTCGCTCATTGAGTACAAAATCAAAATCAATATTCTGCACGGAACCCGTCTCAAACCTAAACTCTTTCTTTCAAACTTCATCCCGATCACGTCGAGATCGTCAATATGGTTCTCGAATGGGTAGTCTCAAGCTACACCGCGGTGGCTAAAGCGATCATGGTTCTCTTCTCGCCTCGAAATATCATTCGTTGGGAACTGGAACAGATTTACGAGACAGCTAAAAAGGAGATGGCCTCCTTGGAACGTAAGTGGGAAGAGCAGATCGAGACAACTAAAAAGGAGATAGCTTCCTTGGAACGTAAGTGGGAAGAGCAGATCAAGACATGTGAAAAGGTGGACGAGCTGATCGAGACATGTAGATTGATCTTGGAACAGCAGAAGAAGAAATACATATTGATCTCTTACGCTGTAAGGAACTCATCATCTTAATTCTCAATTATTTTACAATGGCCTGGGGTTTTGTTCTGATTACACAAAATTCTTTTAAAGTAAACTGTGATTCTTGTTTATGATCAGATTACCTCCCCATCAATGTCTTTCTTTGATTTACTTCTAATATGCTAATGTTCACATGCAGTTAACCGAGATTAAATCCATGGCTTCACGAACGGGGTTGGATCCTCAGGAAATTAAAGAAATGTGCAGAAATCTTGAAAGCAAACAAGTAATCTATTTACAATATTTATTACAAACCACGACCACCTAATCAATCACTTTTCTTTAATCTTATTATTATCTGAAACATTTTTTTTTTTTTTTTTTTTTTTGGGTTAAAATTTATAATCTCAGGATGAGATTCTCGAGATACTGGGGCGCAACTAAGTCAAGCTACATACGTTCAATGCAAGACAAGCACTAGAGTTGAAAGGCTTCCAACCTCCACTTTGATGGTTTTTTATTTATTTTTTTCTTCTTCTTTTTATAGAACGATTTCTTTTATTTTATTGTAAGAACTTACTTATGCTAATTACGATGTTAGTTTTAGTAGTAGCGATGATGGTTTATAGTGTTTTTTTTTTTTCTTCTCTTAATTGACGTTACACCATGAACAACAAGATTGATGAGTTTTGTCCATCAAAAGTAATAGTACAAAGCAAACTATTCATTGACTCAAATTGTTTTTTCAGAAATGTCGTAGTTAAGCTTTAGTAGCATCATGAGGCTTGACTAAATGTGAAGTGACCGGTTTAGTGAAGGAAAGTCAGGGTTCTAATTGGAGTTACGTAATTTATATTTGGGCAATTTTGTAATATAGGTAAAGATCTTTTGGGTGTGATTTAATTTATTTGAAAAGTTGTGGAGAGATGTAAATATTAGAGAACTTGGAGGGGTTTTCCAAGAAGGTTTGGGATTTTAGAGGTCCTCTCTGCGACGTCGTTTCCAGTTTTGTTACGAAGCTCGAGAAGAGAGAATCTATGTCGAACCAAAACGAACCAGCCAGGGCTCTTCTGCCTTACCTGCAACGTGCCGACGAGCTGCAGAAGCATGAACCATGATCTATCTGTGCTAGTTTTGTTTAATTGGACTTGTTTTGGTGGGCTTTTTTGTGATTGATTAGGTCGGCTATATGCCATGGAACGAGGATTGAAGATTCCGCAGAGCGAGAGAACTAAGACCACCAATTCGATTCTTATGTCTCTCTCATTAATCAACTTGAAAAGGTATTAACCTTAAATTCTGAGTTTTTTTTTTTTCTGATTTATGTCAGCTTTTTTGATTTCTTACTGTTTAGGATTGAAAGGACTGATTCTTAAAAATTCTCATGGTATGTTTGGCTTTGATTATTCTATGTTGTTACAAAGCTGGAGATTCTATGTTCGGTAAGGAGGCTTATATCTTAGTTTAGCTTAGGTTGGTTCTTGTGATTGGGAAAACGTATGTGAAGCAAGAACACTTGTACATTGCAATCTCTGGTCATTCTCTTTGTTCTATAGTAGTTCCAGTTTCTTATGGCCATTTTTTTTTTGTGTAACTCCAGGATAAGAAATCATTGAATCTGTCCCCAGATGACAATATGCATGTGGAGGGGTTTGCACTAAGTGTCTTTGCAAAGGCAGACAAGCAGGATCGTGCAGGAAGAGCTGACTTGTAAGAATTTTTTTTATGTCTTATGTTTCGATTATCATATTTAATGGCATATGACAATGGTAAGTTTCTAATAATGTTAGGGTTACCGTCAACACTAGCTCAATGAGTCGAATTATCATGCATCTGTAGATTCACTATCTGTCTAGTATTATTGTGTTTGCAATACTGGAAATAGCATATAAGAACATACACTTACGATAAGTATGCAGATCTGGCATACATGTTTTTTGGTGATACCTTCCTCTGACATTGTCTGATGATGACTTTCATGTTCTACTAATATATGTATTTATCTAAATAGAATATAGATGTAAGATAGCGGGTTAAGTAATTAGTTGGATGCATCCAAGGCATATCTCGACCTGTTGGCTTCTAGCCGTTCTGCTTTTGCAAAATACTTGCATCTCCAGCCTTGATGTGTTGCTTTGCATGGTTTGATACTGATATTAGTTCAATAACTGTCCATACCTGCATACATGTGACTCCATTACAGAGGCTTGCCATGGATAATCCATATTAACTTTGTTGTGCTTGTGACAGGGGCACTGCCAAAACTTTTTATGCTGCGGCAATCTTCTTTGAAACTCTGAGCCAGTTTGGCCCTGTACCTCCTGATGTGAGTTCTTACATTTTTTTCATTCACTTATCATCTCAAACCGAAAACTAGCACCTTAAGAGGCAGCTGTGTTAGGAGATTGATATATGTATATGTAATGGTTTCCATTGACAGATAGAGCAGAAACAGAAGTACGCTGCTTGGAAGGCTGCTGACATAAGGAAAGCCATTAAAGAAGGAAGGAAGCCCACTCCAGGTGATCCTGTTGATGATGATAATGATTTACCCATCCCATCAAGCGGTCCTAGTGGCTCCTATGTAAGTTTCTCTTCTCGGAAATTTGTGGGTTGGAAATATCTTGATATTGGCTTAGCGTGTATTCTCTCCAATAATATCGAAGAGTGTTTAAGTGCATAAATGTCTATAGAATTTGTATAACGCTGACTTTCTAGCTAGAGACACACAAATTCACACCCACCTGTGTACTTCTAGGTTTTTGTTTTTTTTCAACTGTCGAAACACTATGATAGAACATCTGCATCAACTTAATCGATTCATCGTTTGTGTATGTTGATTATCTACAGGATCACGGTGCAAGTGATTCCAACACATCAACTCATCATAGAACAGAGCCTGATCTATCTCATGACTCGAATGATGACTCCAACCACCATCACTTCCCTGAAGTGCCACAACACCCTCTACCAATGATTATCCCACAGATGTCCCGCCTCCACCACCGTCTTCTTACCCTTCCAACGATCTCCTTCCCCCTCCCACGGGACCATCAGACTCCCCTTACCAGCATCCTTACAGTCATCAACCATACCACCAAGACCCGTCACAACACATGCCGCCACCACAAAACTACTCAGCCCATGAGCCTTCTCCAAATTCTCTCCCCAATTTCCAATCTTATCCTAGCTTCAGTGAGAGCAGCCTCCCATCCACTCCTCCCCACTACCCTTCTCACTACCAAAACCCAGAACCTTACTATTCTTCTCCGCATTCCGCACCTGCTCCTTCTTCCGCAAGCTTCTCCTCTGCTCCTCCTCCTCCACCTTACTCATCAAACGGGCGTATCAATATTGCTCCTGTGCTAGATCCTGCACCGAGTCCAGCTCAGAAGTACCATTACGACAGCAGCTACCAGCCAGGGCCTGAGAAGGTTGCAGAGGCACACAAGGCTGCTAGATTCGCTGTGGGAGCTTTGGCTTTTGATGAAGTCTCGACTGCTGTAGAACATCTCAAGAAGTCACTTGAGTTGCTAACAAATCCATCGGCCGGTGCCGGTCACTGAATTTTATATTTAATCTGTGAAACTTGGGGTTGATGTTAGTGCGTGTGTGTGCTCACAATCACATCGTGGGTTTGTTTATTAACTTTTCAGGCTCAGACTTCGTGTACAAAGAAAAATGGTGTGAATTATTCTTACTATCAGAAACTTTTCCTTGCAACTTTAGTGTGCATAGAGTGTGATGATGATCTTTTTATTTATTTATTTAATTTATTAACACGTCGATCAATAGTTTTCATATTTTTAGCCATTAAAATGGCATATAGTTTTCTCGATAAGTAATTATGTGCGATGAATGTTATGAAACAAATTATAGTCACTAGCATATTTTTTTTTTTTTTTTTTTTTTGTCAACAGCATATTATCACTATAATTTTGTAGTATCTTTTATTTAACGCATGTTTTATTCGGTTGCCTACATTATATTAAAAAAACTAATAGCAAGTGATATTTTTTCGTAAAAATATACAAGTTATTGATTTTTCGACCAAAATAAAAAGAGCAGTTCTTTTTTTCTTTTCTAAAACAATATTTTACATCTTTGCAAGTGCCATTATGTGAATGAACTAATTAAACAACAATCTACACAAATTTGTAAAAAAACCAAAAAAAAAAAAAAAACTCAAAATCCACCAGAATTTTGTTATTGGGCCTAACTATCATATATAAGCCTAAGTTTCTAAGCGATGCCAAAGGGAAAAAACCTAGTTTCTAACGCCACCGCCCTCTCTCCCCTTCCAGACTCGTTCCATATCCAACTTTTTCTTCTTCACATCCGTTTCCATGGTGATGTTGTCAAATGTACAAGGCTTTTTAAAGGGAATCAATCTCCATCGAAGGTTCTTCTTCGCCGTCTCGTTACTGTGTCCAGCCGGTTATGGATCCGGATTGCTTTGGGCCGGATCCGGATAGTGATAATGTGGATCCGGCCGGATCCGTCTCACGTACTAAGTACGGTGTGCGCGAAACACTTGATTAGAGCCCTCCCAAGATACACGTTGGCATATTGGGGATTTCTTCTGCTCACCATAACAAACAATCATTTTCTCACCATAACGAAGAAGGAGAAACAGAGAAACGAGAATGAGGTTCCTCGTCGGCTTCACTGTTTTACTTACCTCCGTCATCGCTCTCTTAATCTACGGCGCCACTTCACCGGCGAATCTTACCGGCGACGATTTCAAGTTCCCTGCCCCTTCTATCATCCGCGTCTTCTTCAACGGCGCCAGTTCACCGGCGAATCTTACCGATCGAACATACTCGCTCCACTACGACTACTACTGTGAATCTTGCCCCAGCGTTACCGCTCCTTCTATCATCCGCGTCTTCTTCACTCTTACCGGCGATGATTTCAACTTCCCTGCTCCGTCTATCATCCGCGTCTTCTTCAACGGCGCCAGTTCACCGGCGAATCTTACCGGCGATGATTTCAAGTTCCCTGCTCCGTCTACCATCCGCGTCTTCTTCAACGGCGCCAGTTCACCGGCGAATCTTACCGATCGAGCTTTCTCGCTCCACTACGACTACTACCGTGATTCTTGCCCCAGCGTTACCGCTCCGTCGATCATCCGCGTCCTCTTCTCCGATTGCTTCATTGAGGTAAGATTTTCTCATTTTTGGTTCTCCGTTTCTTCTACATTTTGATTTCGCTACTATCTGTCTACGGGTGATTGTTTGGGATCTCGTTTCGTTAGTGTTGTGTTGTGATCTATCTGTCTCAGAATTTTGGCTGTGGAATCTCTGATTTGATGTTATTAGCATAATTTGTTAATGGAATGCTGTGTTTCTTTAGCATTTACTTGGATTTTTGCTCACGTTAAAATCATAATTTGTGAATCGAATTCTGTGTTTCTTTAGCATTTACTTGGATTTTTGCTCACATGTAGTGAAAATAGAAACTTAGAAGTGTGTTTCCTTTTTTCTCTATGCATTTCAGGCTTTAAAGAGTGTAAGTGTGAAGCATTATGAGCTTTGTATAGGGCAGTCAGTATTTAAGATCTTAACAAGTGTGTTTTGTGCTACAGGGATTCGCAGATGAAACACTCTCTACTGAGAACAATGCATCTCCAAACCTTTCCTTGAAAGGGTTTGATGTTATTGACGCCATTAAGTCTGAGCGGGAGTATGTTTCTCCTGGAGGTCTTTCCTGTGCCGAGCTTCCTGTCTTTCTCGAGCTTCCTCTCTTCCCTGCTAGAGAAGCCGCCCTAGTGGTAATTCTCGCTGTCTCACTCTTCTGGATTGATCATGTTGATGTTTCTACAACGCTTTAATCATATCTTTTTGATTTTCAGGCTGGTACTCGAGTATATCGTCTGGTGACTGTAAGAAAATTCAGTGCAGTGGCCTTCAAGCTTCCTGCACCACAGGCTACTCTCTCTCTCCTTCTTGCAAGTGCTGCTTCCAGAGTATTCAGCGAGAGAGAAACCGTCATTTTATCCGGTAATTCTCACTTGTAAACGTTAACTTCTCTCTCTGTTTAGCTAAATCTGGTTGTATTCCGTATTCCTCACTTCTTGGAAATGCTAACTCGTTATGTTCCTAATGTAGGTGCTCACAGCTTAGGCATTAAGCACTGCACTTTTTTTGAGAACAGCCTCTACAACTTCTCAGGAACCGGGAAGCCTGACACTGAGCTAGCGGATGCTTGTCTAGGAGTTGTTTCCTGTTCCAGCCTTGTCCTGGGTGCTAGAGAAGCCGGCCTTCTGGTAAATTCTCGCCCCTCTCTTTCTCTCTTGGTTATTTTTGATTTCGCTACTATCGGTCTATGGATGGATGATTGTTTGGGATCTCGTTTCGTTAGTGTTGTGCTGTGATCTATCTGTCTCAGAATTTGACTATGGGATCTCTGATTTGATGTTGTTAGCATAATTTGTTAATGGAATGCTGTGTTTCTTTAGCATTTGGTGTTGTTAGCATATTCTGTGTTTCTTTAGCATTTACTTGGATTTTTGCTCACGTTAAAATCAGGTAGTGAAAATAGAAACTTAGAAGTGTGTTTCCTTTTTTCTTTATGCATTTCAGGCTTTAAAGAGTGTAAGTGTGAAGCATTATGAGCTTTGTATAGGGCAGCCAGTATTTAAGACCTTAACAAGTGTGTTTTGTGCTACAGGGATTCGCAGATGAAACACTTGCTACTGAGAGCAAATCATCTCCAAACCTTTCCTTGAAAGGGTTTGATGTTATTGACGCCATTAAGTCTGAGCGGGAGTATGTTTCTCCTGGAGGTCTTTACTGTGCCGAGCCTCCTGTCTTTTTCGAGCCTCCTGTCTTTCGCAAGTTTCCTCGCTTCCCTGCTAGAGAAGCCGCCCTAGTGGTAATTCTCGCTGTCTCACTCTTCTGGATTGATCATGTTGATGTTTCTACAACGCTTTAATCATATCTTTTTGATTTTCAGGCTGATCCTCGAGCATATCCTCTGGTGACTGTAAGAAAAAACATGTTGATTGTTTCGGCTGTGTTAGCTGCATCGGTTTGGGCTGTGTTAGCTGCATCGGGAATGCTGGGAGTAGGATATGTTTGGATCAAATTTCAGGTTACTATTCTCTTTCGCTTTATGACAGTAATAAATATTAGCCTCTTAACTATTCTTCCCCCCCTTGCAGAGATGGTTAAGCTCCTATCGTAGAGATATGAATGCTTTTTCCAAACATTTGGATGAAAAGATAAATGAGGCGGCGCTCAAACTTGATGAAATAGGCAGAGATGCCGAACAGACAAGAAATGTGGTTGCTGATATAAATAGTCAGGTAACGTTATCGATCTTGTTACATTTGGCTTTTTATTTTTGGTCATATCCTTGTGTAATGTTTTCTGTTATCTACTAAGTTCAGATCAGGGATTTGCGTGAAGAAATGAGAGCTGGTTTTGCACAAGTGGCCGATAGAGGTGATCAACAGTTGATTTTGGACATTCTGTCTCATATCTCTTCACAAATTGGTGTAGACGTCCAACATTTGGCAGGTGGAGGCGGTGACGTCCAGCCTGTGGCGCATGGAGGCGGTGACGTCCAGCCTGTGGCGCATGGAGGCGGTGACGTCCAGCCTGTGGCGCATGGAGGCGGTGACGTCCAGCCTGTGGCGCATGGAGGCCGTATCTTGACTATTACCCAGGGAATAAGATCTGTCTTACCAAGAATCTTCGGTCGTCAGCATTAGCGACTTATATGTTACGCAAGTCCGTCCAGTTTGTTGTCGAATGAATTCTTGGACTTGTTTCTGGTCATATGATTTGCTGAACGGTTGTTCATAGTTGAGGATTCTTCTAAGTTTGAGATTGTCTGCATTTTTTTTTGCAAAATTGAGGTGATTAGAGTAAAATGTGTGGTGAAGGATAATCCAGGAGTAGAGTAGCTTTGGTCTAAATTTCATCTTTTGATTGAATTGGGCAAGCTGAATATGATCTAATTGATCGCATCAGTATCCAAGCTTTGTTTTGGCGGTGAATACTCTGAGATGTGTAAGAATGAATCTAGAATCTAGAATGATAAAAAAATAGTCTTACTTCGAGTTCATCTACTCATCTTTGGTAAGCAGGCCACACTATCAAGTATCAGTTAAACCGGGAAGTGTTGGGTTTCAAAATTAACTTGGTAAGTTAAAAACTTAAAACACACATCCACCGTTTTTAGATAGTTATTTGCTATAAGAGGATCCCCTAATAAACCACGTTAATGTTAGTTGTCTTACAAATTCATTCATCTATAAACCAATGTATGTACATCTCAAAGTCTGTATTAACCATTTATTCGGTTTTCGGTCGGTTTTGGTCTTTATATCGAGAACAAGTGAAAACGCGAAAACTTTTTGGATATCGTTCGGATTGGTTACGTATTCTCCCAAAGTAACCAAAAAATCCAAAAATATCTTAAATACTCGAAAAACATTATAATTGTTTCATCCAATTATATTCAAATATATCAAATTTACCCAAAAAAGTATTTGATATACCCGGAAAAAATTATAGGTAAATTACCCGAATATATCCAAATCTACCCGAACTACTAAGAGTAGTTGATGTATCCGAAAAAATGAGTTTATAATTGTAGTTTTGGATATTTAGATTAATTACAAATATAATTATGATCTACTAAATTTTGTCGGTTTCCGTTCGAGTTCGGATCTTTTTTTTCGTTTTGGTTTAGGGTCGGATCTTTGGCTCCGAGTGTTTTGCTCTAACCTAGTTACAATCATTAATAGATCATAAAATAGAAATGTTATTTTCAAATAGGCTCAAGTTACATACAAGTTATGAGTTAAAATAAAGATGTTATTTCCAACGGTGATGAGTTTAAGACTATTCCAACGCCTGTACTCAAAAAGTTTCTTCAACTATTCATTAGCAGTAACGAGTTCAAATTTGAAAAAGAGAAAGAAAAAGAAAAAACGTTCTCTGTAAAATTCTCAAGTCCATCTTTAACGGTCAAATTTAGTCGGCCAGCAGACAAACTCTCAAGTCCGATCAGAAACGAGAACAAAAGAGAAGAGATTGAATTTTGGTGGCACCATGTTCAAGAGAGACGACTACATTCTGGCAGGTACTCTCTGAAGAAATCCCTCTCGGATTTCAAGAAATTTAGTGATTCTGGGGTTAGGGTTTTGCTCCATCTTTCATTCCATTGAAACCCTTTCGAGATCAACAGAATTTCGAATGAAATCTCTTGGAAATTTGTGGAATTTGATTTAAAGATCCCATTTTTAACGCCTGCAACACTTTTCTTCAACGTTTCTTTGTTGGGTCTCCAGGGATTCTGAGTAATTTCATTTGATGTTTCTGGGATTTTTTTCAGGGTTTCGCCCGATCCATGCTTCTGCGTAAACCCATTTCAGAAACTGCAGAATTACGCAAGACTTTTGCGGACTACTCCTTAATTTCTCGAGATTTAGGTCCAAAGGTCTCATTTTTAATCTCCTTCATCACATTATAACTTGTATCTTTGTTGGATAGTAGTTAACTAGGTGACTTAGTCTCATGTTTGCCGTCAAGAAGTTGGAAACACACACATTTTTTAATGTCAAAACTTATACTTTGAACACAGATTCTGATAGGAGCCAACGATAAGGACAATTTCAGAAAAGAGAAAGATCGTGTAGGTAGTAGATACAGAGTCCAAGGAGCCTTCCCGGGTCTGTATGAGCTCGGTCATGACCATGGCCGAAAAGATGATGTTCTTGTGGCTAATCTTGGTCAACCTGAAAGCATTAGATCTCGGCTCCGGTCTTAGACTACATCTTTTGCTCATCATGACTTTCTGGAGCAGGGTTTGTCTCAAATAATTCTTCCTACTGCTCATAACAAAAGTGGCAACCGAACTGAAGAGAAGAAGTATGATTCTGCAGAAGAGAGAGAGGTCAGTTCTGATGCAGCTGAGAAGGAGATTAATTCTCTTCCATCTATACTTAGACTCAGTCCGTCCAGACCTCAACCGGTTTCAGAGAGACATGATGACATTGTTGATGAGTCTGACTCTGCTTCTGTTTGTGGAGTCTTACTAGAAGATGGTACTACTTGCACTACAATTCCAATCAAAGGAAGAAAGAGATGCGCAGAGCATAAAGGGAAGAAGCTTTCACGTGTTTCCCCCGAAAATCACATACCGTGTGAAGTTCCCACCGCAAGAGAATCCAAAGAAACTGAGGATACATGTGGAGTGATTTTACCTGATATGGTACGTTGCAGAAGAAAACCTGTTTCAAGGAGAAAACGATGCGAGGATCACAAGGGAATGAGAGTTAACGCCTTCTTCTTTCTGCTGAACCCAACAGAACGTGATAAAGCAGTCAAAGAGGATAAATCCAAATCCAAGAGGCATGAACCAAGAGGGTTCAAGTCCGGGTTTTTTTTTTCTGTGAAGCTACAACAAAGAATGGTTTGCCTTGTACGAGAAGTGCTCCTGAAGGGAGCAGAAGATGTTGGCAGCACAAAGATAAAACGTTGAACCACGGATCATCCGAAAATGGTAAAATCTGTTTATTTACCGTATCATACTTTAACTCTAGATAATAAGGTTGTATGAATTAACTAAGTAGGTGCAAGTTAATCGAACCGAATATGCATTTCTGTAAGAAGCAGCTTCATTGTTCTCCATCAATGTCTCGGTAATAAACTTTGTTGCTTTCTGCCATAATGTAGAATCTGCTGCAAACAAGCTCAATAGTCAATACGCAGATGTGTAGTTTTTCAGCCTATCAACTTCTGTCTTCTCTCTCATCAATATTCAACATTGATACACATTTGTTTTAAGTAAGCATCACCCTATAACTTAATGGACCGCCTTCTCATTGTTTGCCACATCTGCTTTTGTCTACTGGTTCTGTTGTGTTGCCTTGACACTTGAAAATCATCTGCAGAACCATTCTAAGTCATAGCAAATTAGCAATCTGAGGGTCCTGTTACTTTAGGATCCTGAACAGAAATAGTAGAGATGATGTGTATGCACTGTATCAACCTGCAAGATAGAACAACTGAGAAATTTTCTTCTGCAATTTGTATTTTCGAGTTAAGAAACCGATGAGCATGAAAATATATAGAAATCCTGAGAATCAACAATTCATCAACAATCTGTGTCTCTCACTATTTCGTAAGGTTAGTTGGGTAGTGAGAGAATCTAGAATGACATTTGCAGTTTGAGTTTGTATTGCTAGTGAATTTTAGTTGACTGTGCGAAGTGAACAAGATATTAGTACTTCAGACTAAACCAGGTAATGGTTTAATTTGTGAGGTTTTTCATGATCTTGCAGTGGCTCTTTGGTAGAAAACAAGAAGCTGAAGTAGGACCGTTTTCAGCATGGAATATTACTGGCACATATAAAGGTTTGTGGCATGTCTTTCGTCATTTTTTCTATAACTTCTTGCGACTTCAGGATTATCTACTGTGTTGTGGGTATATGTCTATTGTGTTATGTTTTAGACTACTTATCAAAAGTGGGTATCTCAGGAACTTGGAAGTTTCTGAATTCCGTAAATAGCTCTTCAAAATTCCAAGACTTTCAAAAAGAAATGGTAATTCTGTCGTTGAGTTAGTGGCAGTTCCAACAAAGATAACTGGTGTGCATTATGTTCAGGTGAACAGTTCGGCTTCTAAAGTCTGTATTTTGGGATTCCCGTTGATCTTGTAGCATGCAATATTTGAGCTTATAACAACGTTCATGGATCAGGATGTTGGCAGCACAAAGATAAAACGTTGAACCACGGATCATCCGAAAATGGTAAAATCTGTTTATTTACCGTATCATACTTTAACTCTAGATAATAAGGTTGTATGAATTAACTAAGTAGGTGCAAGTTAATCGAACCGAATATGCATTTCTGTAAGAAGCAGCTTCATTGTTCTCCATCAATGTCTCGGTAATAAACTTTGTTGCTTTCTGCCATAATGTAGAATCTGCTGCAAACAAGCTCAATAGTCAATACGCAGATGTGTAGTTTTTCAGCCTATCAACTTCTGTCTTCTCTCTCATCAATATTCAACATTGATACACATTTGTTTTAAGTAAGCATCACCCTATAACTTAATGGACCGCCTTCTCATTGTTTGCCACATCTGCTTTTGTCTACTGGTTCTGTTGTGTTGCCTTGACACTTGAAAATCATCTGCAGAACCATTCTAAGTCATAGCAAATTAGCAATCTGAGGGTCCTGTTACTTTAGGATCCTGAACAGAAATAGTAGAGATGATGTGTATGCACTGTATCAACCTGCAAGATAGAACAACTGAGAAATTTTCTTCTGCAATTTGTATTTTCGAGTTAAGAAACCGATGAGCATGAAAATATATAGAAATCCTGAGAATCAACAATTCATCAACAATCTGTGTCTCTCACTATTTCGTAAGGTTAGTTGGGTAGTGAGAGAATCTAGAATGACATTTGCAGTTTGAGTTTGTATTGCTAGTGAATTTTAGTTGACTGTGCGAAGTGAACAAGATATTAGTACTTCAGACTAAACCAGGTAATGGTTTAATTTGTGAGGTTTTTCATGATCTTGCAGTGGCTCTTTGGTAGAAAACAAGAAGCTGAAGTAGGACCGTTTTCAGCATGGAATATTACTGGCACATATAAAGGTTTGTGGCATGTCTTTCGTCATTTTTTCTATAACTTCTTGCGACTTCAGGATTATCTACTGTGTTGTGGGTATATGTCTATTGTGTTATGTTTTAGACTACTTATCAAAAGTGGGTATCTCAGGAACTTGGAAGTTTCTGAATTCCGTAAATAGCTCTTCAAAATTCCAAGACTTTCAAAAAGAAATGGTAATTCTGTCGTTGAGTTAGTGGCAGTTCCAACAAAGATAACTGGTGTGCATTATGTTCAGGTGAACAGTTCGGCTTCTAAAGTCTGTATTTTGGGATTCCCGTTGATCTTGTAGCATGCAATATTTGAGCTTATAACAACGTTCATGGATCAGGATGTTGGCAGCACAAAGATAAAACGTTGAACCACGGATCATCCGAAAATGGTAAAATCTGTTTATTTACCGTATCATACTTTAACTCTAGATAATAAGGTTGTATGAATTAACTAAGTAGGTGCAAGTTAATCGAACCGAATATGCATTTCTGTAAGAAGCAGCTTCATTGTTCTCCATCAATGTCTCGGTAATAAACTTTGTTGCTTTCTGCCATAATGTAGAATCTGCTGCAAACAAGCTCAATAGTCAATACGCAGATGTGTAGTTTTTCAGCCTATCAACTTCTGTCTTCTCTCTCATCAATATTCAACATTGATACACATTTGTTTTAAGTAAGCATCACCCTATAACTTAATGGACCGCCTTCTCATTGTTTGCCACATCTGCTTTTGTCTACTGGTTCTGTTGTGTTGCCTTGACACTTGAAAATCATCTGCAGAACCATTCTAAGTCATAGCAAATTAGCAATCTGAGGGTCCTGTTACTTTAGGATCCTGAACAGAAATAGTAGAGATGATGTGTATGCACTGTATCAACCTGCAAGATAGAACAACTGAGAAATTTTCTTCTGCAATTTGTATTTTCGAGTTAAGAAACCGATGAGCATGAAAATATATAGAAATCCTGAGAATCAACAATTCATCAACAATCTGTGTCTCTCACTATTTCGTAAGGTTAGTTGGGTAGTGAGAGAATCTAGAATGACATTTGCAGTTTGAGTTTGTATTGCTAGTGAATTTTAGTTGACTGTGCGAAGTGAACAAGATATTAGTACTTCAGACTAAACCAGGTAATGGTTTAATTTGTGAGGTTTTTCATGATCTTGCAGTGGCTCTTTGGTAGAAAACAAGAAGCTGAAGTAGGACCGTTTTCAGCATGGAATATTACTGGCACATATAAAGGTTTGTGGCATGTCTTTCGTCATTTTTTCTATAACTTCTTGCGACTTCAGGATTATCTACTGTGTTGTGGGTATATGTCTATTGTGTTATGTTTTAGACTACTTATCAAAAGTGGGTATCTCAGGAACTTGGAAGTTTCTGAATTCCGTAAATAGCTCTTCAAAATTCCAAGACTTTCAAAAAGAAATGGTAATTCTGTCGTTGAGTTAGTGGCAGTTCCAACAAAGATAACTGGTGTGCATTATGTTCAGGTGAACAGTTCGGCTTCTAAAGTCTGTATTTTGGGATTCCCGTTGATCTTGTAGCATGCAATATTTGAGCTTATAACAACGTTCATGGATCAGGGTGTTAGTTGTTTTCCATGACGTATTTGACAATGAACAAAATGTGGGTGGTGCCCAAATAAACCTGGAAGGTGTATATATATGGCCCTTTAGGCAACTCCTCCTTGTGGCTAACAGGTACTAACTTTTGATTTATTTAACTGCTCTTAAGATTTATTATTGAGTCTTAACTCCAAGGTCTGTACATCACTTGACCTAAAACAGCGGCAAAGAGAATGATTCAGGGCAAGAAGACAATAATCTTCTCTCAAATCCCTATCATCTGGTAGTCCTTCAGACTCTTGTTTCACCCACTTTAGGCAATGATAGTGCTTTCTTCTGCCGATGGCTTGTTTGATGTGTTATTAATGTTCCAAGAGCTTACTAGTGTCAACTTTCTGTTGTTGTACAGCTTGGAATTATCTCCTCTCAAGTCTTTCAAGAATCTGCAAGAGACAGATTACTGAAACGGAAACTTTTCCAATACGGTTTACTTTTCAGCTACTCTGATCTTCGATTCTCTTGTACTTCAGCTCCAGTACTAAATGAGATGGAGAAGCACTGTAATATCGAAATAGCAGCTCAAGTATCCCGTGTGGCTTCTAGTGAAAATAGTATGCATTCTGACTTTAAACGTCGAGGTGATCCTGGCGTAATCTTACTTTGAGGGGCTTTTCCATATTTTGGTAGATGGAGACAAAAATTATTATCGCATGGAAGGATTGATGGAGAGTCCTGGGGTACGCGATGACTGAGATTGTTTCTCGCCTTTGTTACCGAATGCAACTTCTGTAAATGTCGAAGTCAACTATGAAATTTGTATGGGATGCTGCTTCGTCCTCCTCTGATCTCAAGTTCTATGTTTTCAGGGAATTTCTACCTCAAGACAATTGCAGGCGAGTGAAGAGCCTGTATCATCACCTTTGTCATCTCCAGCTCTGTTGGGTAGTGGAAAAGAAGATGAGCAGAAGATTATCCCAAAGCGTCAGAAAGTTCAGGCTGTCCTCAAGTCCATGAAGCAGGTGTCTTCTTTAACTCCTAGAACACTTGTACTTTTCAGATGATCCTGCTCCATTTCGTTTAATATATGTTTCCATCTCAATCTAGTTATATGGGCTGTATAATGTGCCCAACCTTGCTTGTTTTCAGAGTCCTAGGAAGGTCAACCTGGTTGCAGCACTAGTCCGTGGCATGCGTGTCAAACGGGCTTCACAAACCGTGTACCGGGTAATCTCTGAGCTCCGAGTTTTAAAAAAAAAAAACACTTTTGGAGTGTCTAGTCTAATCTCCTCTCCAGACATTTGATAACTTTCCTCATCTAGCTAATGATACTTAGCATACAACTTGTTATCTTAATGCAATGCTTAAAGGAGTTAAATACATTATAATGCAGGTTATCCACGCTGCCCTGGGAAATGCTACTCATAATCATGGACTAGATCCTGACCGTCTCCTTGTTGGTATGTACTATATAGCTAGTGATACTGGATCCATGATCTCCTTGTTTTGCTTTAAAGAAGAGAACGTGATATGTCAGAGAAAATTTGTCGATTGGTACTTTAAAGAAGTAAACATGATATGCCAGAAATTAAGATGTATTGCAGCTAAGCTTTTGATATGTGATTGCAACGTAAGCATTTGTTGGGAAGGGACTCATGAACTTACTTTATAGTTTGTACTTGATCCTGATTGCTTACCCTCCAAGTTTCCATTTGTTCTCCGAACTTCAAAATATGGAAACCACACATAAATGATTTTATCCTTCGAAAAGCTTCTGAAGAATTCGTTAAATTATCTCATTAAATAAAAGCCTGGAAAATCTAAAACCCACAAAAGCCCCTTTGAAAGAAAAGAAAAAAACCAATTAGTCGAATAAAGCCTCAAACCCTAAGTATATACAGTATATATATATATATATATTTAACCTACGAGAGCGTGTTACATACCAAACCCTACATATTATTATATAGACCTAATTAAACTCGCTCATTGAGTACAAAATCAAAATCAATATTCTGCACGGAACCCGTCTCAAACCTAAACTCTTTCTTTCAAACTTCATCCCGATCACGTCGAGATCGTCAATATGGTTCTCGAATGGGTAGTCTCAAGCTACACCGCGGTGGCTAAAGCGATCATGGTTCTCTTCTCGCCTCGAAATATCATTCGTTGGGAACTGGAACAGATTTACGAGACAGCTAAAAAGGAGATGGCCTCCTTGGAACGTAAGTGGGAAGAGCAGATCGAGACAACTAAAAAGGAGATAGCTTCCTTGGAACGTAAGTGGGAAGAGCAGATCAAGACATGTGAAAAGGTGGACGAGCTGATCGAGACATGTAGATTGATCTTGGAACAGCAGAAGAAGAAATACATATTGATCTCTTACGCTGTAAGGAACTCATCATCTTAATTCTCAATTATTTTACAATGGCCTGGGGTTTTGTTCTGATTACACAAAATTCTTTTAAAGTAAACTGTGATTCTTGTTTATGATCAGATTACCTCCCCATCAATGTCTTTCTTTGATTTACTTCTAATATGCTAATGTTCACATGCAGTTAACCGAGATTAAATCCATGGCTTCACGAACGGGGTTGGATCCTCAGGAAATTAAAGAAATGTGCAGAAATCTTGAAAGCAAACAAGTAATCTATTTACAATATTTATTACAAACCACGACCACCTAATCAATCACTTTTCTTTAATCTTATTATTATCTGAAACATTTTTTTTTTTTTTTTTTTTTTTTGGGTTAAAATTTATAATCTCAGGATGAGATTCTCGAGATACTGGGGCGCAACTAAGTCAAGCTACATACGTTCAATGCAAGACAAGCACTAGAGTTGAAAGGCTTCCAACCTCCACTTTGATGGTTTTTTATTTATTTTTTTCTTCTTCTTTTTATAGAACGATTTCTTTTATTTTATTGTAAGAACTTACTTATGCTAATTACGATGTTAGTTTTTAGTAGTAGCGATGATGGTTTATAGTGTTTTTTTTTTTTCTTCTCTTAATTGACGTTTACACCATGAACAACAAGATTGATGAGTTTTGTCCATCAAAAGTAATAGTACAAAGCAAACTATTCATTGACTCAAATTGTTTTTTCAGAAATGTCGTAGTTAAGCTTTAGTAGCATCATGAGGCTTGACTAAATGTGAAGTGACCGGTTTAGTGAAGGAAAGTCAGGGTTCTAATTGGAGTTACGTAATTTATATTTGGGCAATTTTGTAATATAGGTAAAGATCTTTTGGGTGTGATTTAATTTATTTGAAAAGTTGTGGAGAGATGTAAATATTAGAGAACTTGGAGGGGTTTTCCAAGAAGGTTTGGGATTTTAGAGGTCCTCTCTGCGACGTCGTTTCCAGTTTTGTTACGAAGCTCGAGAAGAGAGAATCTATGTCGAACCAAAACGAACCAGCCAGGGCTCTTCTGCCTTACCTGCAACGTGCCGACGAGCTGCAGAAGCATGAACCATGATCTATCTGTGCTAGTTTTTGTTTAATTGGACTTGTTTTGGTGGGCTTTTTTGTGATTGATTAGGTCGGCTATATGCCATGGAACGAGGATTGAAGATTCCGCAGAGCGAGAGAACTAAGACCACCAATTCGATTCTTATGTCTCTCTCATTAATCAACTTGAAAAGGTATTAACCTTAAATTCTGAGTTTTTTTTTTTTCTGATTTATGTCAGCTTTTTTGATTTCTTACTTGTTTAGGATTGAAAGGACTGATTCTTAAAAATTCTCATGGTATGTTTGGCTTTGATTATTCTATGTTGTTACAAAGCTGGAGATTCTATGTTCGGTAAGGAGGCTTATATCTTAGTTTAGCTTAGGTTGGTTCTTGTGATTGGGAAAACGTATGTGAAGCAAGAACACTTGTACATTGCAATCTCTGGTCATTCTCTTTGTTCTATAGTAGTTCCAGTTTCTTATGGCCATTTTTTTTTTGTGTAACTCCAGGATAAGAAATCATTGAATCTGTCCCCAGATGACAATATGCATGTGGAGGGGTTTGCACTAAGTGTCTTTGCAAAGGCAGACAAGCAGGATCGTGCAGGAAGAGCTGACTTGTAAGAATTTTTTTTATGTCTTATGTTTCGATTATCATATTTAATGGCATATGACAATGGTAAGTTTCTAATAATGTTAGGGTTACCGTCAACACTAGCTCAATGAGTCGAATTATCATGCATCTGTAGATTCACTATCTGTCTAGTATTATTGTGTTTGCAATACTGGAAATAGCATATAAGAACATACACTTACGATAAGTATGCAGATCTGGCATACATGTTTTTTGGTGATACCTTCCTCTGACATTGTCTGATGATGACTTTCATGTTCTACTAATATATGTATTTATCTAAATAGAATATAGATGTAAGATAGCGGGTTAAGTAATTAGTTGGATGCATCCAAGGCATATCTCGACCTGTTGGCTTCTAGCCGTTCTGCTTTTGCAAAATACTTGCATCTCCAGCCTTGATGTGTTGCTTTGCATGGTTTGATACTGATATTAGTTCAATAACTGTCCATACCTGCATACATGTGACTCCATTACAGAGGCTTGCCATGGATAATCCATATTAACTTTGTTGTGCTTGTGACAGGGGCACTGCCAAAACTTTTTATGCTGCGGCAATCTTCTTTGAAACTCTGAGCCAGTTTGGCCCTGTACCTCCTGATGTGAGTTCTTACATTTTTTTCATTCACTTATCATCTCAAACCGAAAACTAGCACCTTAAGAGGCAGCTGTGTTAGGAGATTGATATATGTATATGTAATGGTTTCCATTGACAGATAGAGCAGAAACAGAAGTACGCTGCTTGGAAGGCTGCTGACATAAGGAAAGCCATTAAAGAAGGAAGGAAGCCCACTCCAGGTGATCCTGTTGATGATGATAATGATTTACCCATCCCATCAAGCGGTCCTAGTGGCTCCTATGTAAGTTTCTCTTCTCGGAAATTTGTGGGTTGGAAATATCTTGATATTGGCTTAGCGTGTATTCTCTCCAATAATATCGAAGAGTGTTTAAGTGCATAAATGTCTATAGAATTTGTATAACGCTGACTTTCTAGCTAGAGACACACAAATTCACACCCACCTGTGTACTTCTAGGTTTTTGTTTTTTTTCAACTGTCGAAACACTATGATAGAACATCTGCATCAACTTAATCGATTCATCGTTTGTGTATGTTGATTATCTACAGGATCACGGTGCAAGTGATTCCAACACATCAACTCATCATAGAACAGAGCCTGATCTATCTCATGACTCGAATGATGACTCCAACCACCATCACTTCCCTGAAGTGCCACAACACCCTCTACCAATGATTATCCCACAGATGTCCCGCCTCCACCACCGTCTTCTTACCCTTCCAACGATCTCCTTCCCCCTCCCACGGGACCATCAGACTCCCCTTACCAGCATCCTTACAGTCATCAACCATACCACCAAGACCCGTCACAACACATGCCGCCACCACAAAACTACTCAGCCCATGAGCCTTCTCCAAATTCTCTCCCCAATTTCCAATCTTATCCTAGCTTCAGTGAGAGCAGCCTCCCATCCACTCCTCCCCACTACCCTTCTCACTACCAAAACCCAGAACCTTACTATTCTTCTCCGCATTCCGCACCTGCTCCTTCTTCCGCAAGCTTCTCCTCTGCTCCTCCTCCTCCACCTTACTCATCAAACGGGCGTATCAATATTGCTCCTGTGCTAGATCCTGCACCGAGTCCAGCTCAGAAGTACCATTACGACAGCAGCTACCAGCCAGGGCCTGAGAAGGTTGCAGAGGCACACAAGGCTGCTAGATTCGCTGTGGGAGCTTTGGCTTTTGATGAAGTCTCGACTGCTGTAGAACATCTCAAGAAGTCACTTGAGTTGCTAACAAATCCATCGGCCGGTGCCGGTCACTGAATTTTATATTTAATCTGTGAAACTTGGGGTTGATGTTAGTGCGTGTGTGTGCTCACAATCACATCGTGGGTTTGTTTATTAACTTTTCAGGCTCAGACTTCGTGTACAAAGAAAAATGGTGTGAATTATTCTTACTATCAGAAACTTTTCCTTGCAACTTTAGTGTGCATAGAGTGTGATGATGATCTTTTTATTTATTTATTTAATTTATTAACACGTCGATCAATAGTTTTCATATTTTTAGCCATTAAAATGGCATATAGTTTTCTCGATAAGTAATTATGTGCGATGAATGTTATGAAACAAATTATAGTCACTAGCATATTTTTTTTTTTTTTTTTTTTTGTCAACAGCATATTATCACTATAATTTTGTAGTATCTTTTATTTAACGCATGTTTTATTCGGTTGCCTACATTATATTAAAAAAACTAATAGCAAGTGATATTTTTTCGTAAAAATATACAAGTTATTGATTTTTCGACCAAAATAAAAAGAGCAGTTCTTTTTTTCTTTTCTAAAACAATATTTTACATCTTTGCAAGTGCCATTATGTGAATGAACTAATTAAACAACAATCTACACAAATTTGTAAAAAAACCAAAAAAAAAAAAAAAACTCAAAATCCACCAGAATTTTGTTATTGGGCCTAACTATCATATATAAGCCTAAGTTTCTAAGCGATGCCAAAGGGAAAAAACCTAGTTTCTAACGCCACCGCCCTCTCTCCCCTTCCAGACTCGTTCCATATCCAACTTTTTCTTCTTCACATCCGTTTCCATGGTGATGTTGTCAAATGTACAAGGCTTTTTAAAGGGAATCAATCTCCATCGAAGGTTCTTCTTCGCCGTCTCGTTACTGTGTCCAGCCGGTTATGGATCCGGATTGCTTTGGGCCGGATCCGGATAGTGATAATGTGGATCCGGCCGGATCCGTCTCACGTACTAAGTACGGTGTGCGCGAAACACTTGATTAGAGCCCTCCCAAGATACACGTTGGCATATTGGGGATTTCTTCTGCTCACCATAACAAACAATCATTTTCTCACCATAACGAAGAAGGAGAAACAGAGAAACGAGAATGAGGTTCCTCGTCGGCTTCACTGTTTTACTTACCTCCGTCATCGCTCTCTTAATCTACGGCGCCACTTCACCGGCGAATCTTACCGGCGACGATTTCAAGTTCCCTGCCCCTTCTATCATCCGCGTCTTCTTCAACGGCGCCAGTTCACCGGCGAATCTTACCGATCGAACATACTCGCTCCACTACGACTACTACTGTGAATCTTGCCCCAGCGTTACCGCTCCTTCTATCATCCGCGTCTTCTTCACTCTTACCGGCGATGATTTCAACTTCCCTGCTCCGTCTATCATCCGCGTCTTCTTCAACGGCGCCAGTTCACCGGCGAATCTTACCGGCGATGATTTCAAGTTCCCTGCTCCGTCTACCATCCGCGTCTTCTTCAACGGCGCCAGTTCACCGGCGAATCTTACCGATCGAGCTTTCTCGCTCCACTACGACTACTACCGTGATTCTTGCCCCAGCGTTACCGCTCCGTCGATCATCCGCGTCCTCTTCTCCGATTGCTTCATTGAGGTAAGATTTTCTCATTTTTGGTTCTCCGTTTCTTCTACATTTTGATTTCGCTACTATCTGTCTACGGGTGATTGTTTGGGATCTCGTTTCGTTAGTGTTGTGTTGTGATCTATCTGTCTCAGAATTTTGGCTGTGGAATCTCTGATTTGATGTTATTAGCATAATTTGTTAATGGAATGCTGTGTTTCTTTAGCATTTACTTGGATTTTTGCTCACGTTAAAATCATAATTTGTGAATCGAATTCTGTGTTTCTTTAGCATTTACTTGGATTTTTGCTCACATGTAGTGAAAATAGAAACTTAGAAGTGTGTTTCCTTTTTTCTCTATGCATTTCAGGCTTTAAAGAGTGTAAGTGTGAAGCATTATGAGCTTTGTATAGGGCAGTCAGTATTTAAGATCTTAACAAGTGTGTTTTGTGCTACAGGGATTCGCAGATGAAACACTCTCTACTGAGAACAATGCATCTCCAAACCTTTCCTTGAAAGGGTTTGATGTTATTGACGCCATTAAGTCTGAGCGGGAGTATGTTTCTCCTGGAGGTCTTTCCTGTGCCGAGCTTCCTGTCTTTCTCGAGCTTCCTCTCTTCCCTGCTAGAGAAGCCGCCCTAGTGGTAATTCTCGCTGTCTCACTCTTCTGGATTGATCATGTTGATGTTTCTACAACGCTTTAATCATATCTTTTTGATTTTCAGGCTGGTACTCGAGTATATCGTCTGGTGACTGTAAGAAAATTCAGTGCAGTGGCCTTCAAGCTTCCTGCACCACAGGCTACTCTCTCTCTCCTTCTTGCAAGTGCTGCTTCCAGAGTATTCAGCGAGAGAGAAACCGTCATTTTATCCGGTAATTCTCACTTGTAAACGTTAACTTCTCTCTCTGTTTAGCTAAATCTGGTTGTATTCCGTATTCCTCACTTCTTGGAAATGCTAACTCGTTATGTTCCTAATGTAGGTGCTCACAGCTTAGGCATTAAGCACTGCACTTTTTTTGAGAACAGCCTCTACAACTTCTCAGGAACCGGGAAGCCTGACACTGAGCTAGCGGATGCTTGTCTAGGAGTTGTTTCCTGTTCCAGCCTTGTCCTGGGTGCTAGAGAAGCCGGCCTTCTGGTAAATTCTCGCCCCTCTCTTTCTCTCTTGGTTATTTTTGATTTCGCTACTATCGGTCTATGGATGGATGATTGTTTGGGATCTCGTTTCGTTAGTGTTGTGCTGTGATCTATCTGTCTCAGAATTTGACTATGGGATCTCTGATTTGATGTTGTTAGCATAATTTGTTAATGGAATGCTGTGTTTCTTTAGCATTTGGTGTTGTTAGCATATTCTGTGTTTCTTTAGCATTTACTTGGATTTTTGCTCACGTTAAAATCAGGTAGTGAAAATAGAAACTTAGAAGTGTGTTTCCTTTTTTCTCTATGCATTTCAGGCTTTAAAGAGTGTAAGTGTGAAGCATTATGCCCTTTGTATAGGGCAGTCAGTATTTAAGATCTTAACAAGTGTGTTTTGTGCTACAGGGATTCGCAGATGAAACACTCTCTACTGAGAACAATGCATCTCCAAACCTTTCCTTGAAAGGGTTTGATGTTATTGACGCCATTAAGTCTGAGCGGGAGTATGTTTCTCCTGGAGGTCTTTCCTGTGCCGAGCTTCCTCGCTGCCCTGCTAGAGAAGCCGCCCTAGTGGTAATTCTCGCTGTCTCACTCTTCTGGATTGATCATGTTGATGTTTCTACAACGCTTTAATCATATCTTTTTGATTTTCAGTCTGGTCCTCGAGTATATTCTCTGGTGACTGTAAGAAAAGACAGTGCGGTGACTGTAAGAAAAGACAATGCAGTGGCCTTCAAGCTTCCTGCACCACTGTCTAGTCTCTCTCTCCTTCTTGCAACTGCCTCTTCCAAAGGATCCTCCAAGCTAACAATACTTGTCTTTATTCTTTGGTTTACAACCAAAACGGTTGATGGAAAGTTTGAGCAATACCCTGATGTTCCCTCAGATCACCCGAATTATGTCTTTTTTAATCAGTTCCTGAAGGAACTGAGAGCACAGAATGCACAAAGTCCTATAAATATCTATACAGGTGCTGAAAAAACCAATTATTTGTCTATATTTTGGGCTGTGTTAGCTGCATCGGGAATGCTGGGAGTAGGATATGTTTGGATCAAATTTCAGGTAACAATTCTCTTTCGCTTTATGACAGTAATAAATATTAGCCTCTTAACTATTCTTCCCCCCTTGCAGAGATGGTTAAGCTCTGATCTTAGAGATATGAATGCTTTTTCCAAACATTTGGATGAAAAGATAAATGAGGCGGCGCTCAAACTTGATGAAATGGGCAGATATGCCGAAGAGACAAGAAATATAGCTGCTGATACAAATAGTCAGGTAACGTTATCGATCTTGTTACATTTTGGTTTTTATTTTTTGGTCATATCCTTGTGTAATGTTTTCTGTTATCTACTAAGTTCAGATCAGGGATTTGCGTGAAGAAATGAGAGCTGGTTTTGCACGTGTGGCTGATAGAGGTGATCAAGAGTTGATTTTGGACATTCTGTATCATGTCTGCTCACAGATTGGTGTAGACGTCCAACCTTTGGCGGGTAGAGGCGGTGACATCCGACCTGTGGCGCATGGAGGCCGTATCTTGACTATTACCCAGGGAATAAGATCTGTCTTACCAGCGGCAACCCGATCAAGAATCTTCGGCCGTCAGCATTAGCGACTTATATGTTACTTTAGTTAGCAAGTCCGTCCAGTTTGTTGTCGAATGAATTCTTGGACTTGTTTCTGGTCATATGATTTGCTGAACGGTTGTTCATAGTTGAGGATTCTTCTAAGTTTGAGATTGTCTGCATTTTTTTTTGCAAAATTGAGGTGATTAGAGTAAAATGTGTGGTGAAGGATAATCCAGGAGTAGAGTAGCTTTGGTCTAAATTTCATCTTTTGATTGAATTGGGCAAGCTGAATATGATCTAATTGATCGCATCAGTATCCAAGCTTTGTTTTGGCGGTGAATACTCTGAGATGTGTAAGAATGAATCTAGAATCTAGAATGATAAAAAAATAGTCTTACTTCGAGTTCATCTACTCATCTTTGGTAAGCAGGCCACACTATCAAGTATCAGTTAAACCGGGAAGTGTTGGGTTTCAAAATTAACTTGGTAAGTTAAAAACTTAAAACACACATCCACCGTTTTTAGATAGTTATTTGCTATAAGAGGATCCCCTAATAAACCACGTTAATGTTAGTTGTCTTACAAATTCATTCATCTATAAACCAATGTATGTACATCTCAAAGTCTGTATTAACCATTTATTCGGTTTTCGGTCGGTTTTGGTCTTTATATCGAGAACAAGTGAAAACGCGAAAACTTTTTGGATATCGTTCGGATTGGTTACGTATTCTCCCAAAGTAACCAAAAAATCCAAAAATATCTTAAATACTCGAAAAACATTATAATTGTTTCATCCAATTATATTCAAATATATCAAATTTACCCAAAAAAGTATTTGATATACCCGGAAAAAATTATAGGTAAATTACCCGAATATATCCAAATCTACCCGAACTACTAAGAGTAGTTGATGTATCCGAAAAAATGAGTTTATAATTGTAGTTTTGGATATTTAGATTAATTACAAATATAATTATGATCTACTAAATTTTGTCGGTTTCCGTTCGAGTTCGGATCTTTTTTTTCGTTTTGGTTTAGGGTCGGATCTTTGGCTCCGAGTGTTTTGCTCTAACCTAGTTACAATCATTAATAGATCATAAAATAGAAATGTTATTTTCAAATAGGCTCAAGTTACATACAAGTTATGAGTTAAAATAAAGATGTTATTTCCAACGGTGATGAGTTTAAGACTATTCCAACGCCTGTACTCAAAAAGTTTCTTCAACTATTCATTAGCAGTAACGAGTTCAAATTTGAAAAAGAGAAAGAAAAAGAAAAAACGTTCTCTGTAAAATTCTCAAGTCCATCTTTAACGGTCAAATTTAGTCGGCCAGCAGACAAACTCTCAAGTCCGATCAGAAACGAGAACAAAAGAGAAGAGATTGAATTTTGGTGGCACCATGTTCAAGAGAGACGACTACATTCTGGCAGGTACTCTCTGAAGAAATCCCTCTCGGATTTCAAGAAATTTAGTGATTCTGGGGTTAGGGTTTTGCTCCATCTTTCATTCCATTGAAACCCTTTCGAGATCAACAGAATTTCGAATGAAATCTCTTGGAAATTTGTGGAATTTGATTTAAAGATCCCATTTTTAACGCCTGCAACACTTTTCTTCAACGTTTCTTTGTTGGGTCTCCAGGGATTCTGAGTAATTTCATTTGATGTTTCTGGGATTTTTTTCAGGGTTTCGCCCGATCCATGCTTCTGCGTAAACCCATTTCAGAAACTGCAGAATTACGCAAGACTTTTGCGGACTACTCCTTAATTTCTCGAGATTTAGGTCCAAAGGTCTCATTTTTAATCTCCTTCATCACATTATAACTTGTATCTTTGTTGGATAGTAGTTAACTAGGTGACTTAGTCTCATGTTTGCCGTCAAGAAGTTGGAAACACACACATTTTTTAATGTCAAAACTTATACTTTGAACACAGATTCTGATAGGAGCCAACGATAAGGACAATTTCAGAAAAGAGAAAGATCGTGTAGGTAGTAGATACAGAGTCCAAGGAGCCTTCCCGGGTCTGTATGAGCTCGGTCATGACCATGGCCGAAAAGATGATGTTCTTGTGGCTAATCTTGGTCAACCTGAAAGCATTAGATCTCGGCTCCGGTCTTAGACTACATCTTTTGCTCATCATGACTTTCTGGAGCAGGGTTTGTCTCAAATAATTCTTCCTACTGCTCATAACAAAAGTGGCAACCGAACTGAAGAGAAGAAGTATGATTCTGCAGAAGAGAGAGAGGTCAGTTCTGATGCAGCTGAGAAGGAGATTAATTCTCTTCCATCTATACTTAGACTCAGTCCGTCCAGACCTCAACCGGTTTCAGAGAGACATGATGACATTGTTGATGAGTCTGACTCTGCTTCTGTTTGTGGAGTCTTACTAGAAGATGGTACTACTTGCACTACAATTCCAATCAAAGGAAGAAAGAGATGCGCAGAGCATAAAGGGAAGAAGCTTTCACGTGTTTCCCCCGAAAATCACATACCGTGTGAAGTTCCCACCGCAAGAGAATCCAAAGAAACTGAGGATACATGTGGAGTGATTTTACCTGATATGGTACGTTGCAGAAGAAAACCTGTTTCAAGGAGAAAACGATGCGAGGATCACAAGGGAATGAGAGTTAACGCCTTCTTCTTTCTGCTGAACCCAACAGAACGTGATAAAGCAGTCAAAGAGGATAAATCCAAATCCAAGAGGCATGAACCAAGAGGGTTCAAGTCCGGGTTTTTTTTTTCTGTGAAGCTACAACAAAGAATGGTTTGCCTTGTACGAGAAGTGCTCCTGAAGGGAGCAGAAGATGTTGGCAGCACAAAGATAAAACGTTGAACCACGGATCATCCGAAAATGGTAAAATCTGTTTATTTACCGTATCATACTTTAACTCTAGATAATAAGGTTGTATGAATTAACTAAGTAGGTGCAAGTTAATCGAACCGAATATGCATTTCTGTAAGAAGCAGCTTCATTGTTCTCCATCAATGTCTCGGTAATAAACTTTGTTGCTTTCTGCCATAATGTAGAATCTGCTGCAAACAAGCTCAATAGTCAATACGCAGATGTGTAGTTTTTCAGCCTATCAACTTCTGTCTTCTCTCTCATCAATATTCAACATTGATACACATTTGTTTTAAGTAAGCATCACCCTATAACTTAATGGACCGCCTTCTCATTGTTTGCCACATCTGCTTTTGTCTACTGGTTCTGTTGTGTTGCCTTGACACTTGAAAATCATCTGCAGAACCATTCTAAGTCATAGCAAATTAGCAATCTGAGGGTCCTGTTACTTTAGGATCCTGAACAGAAATAGTAGAGATGATGTGTATGCACTGTATCAACCTGCAAGATAGAACAACTGAGAAATTTTCTTCTGCAATTTGTATTTTTGAGTTAAGAAACCGATGAGCATGAAAATATATAGAAATCCTGAGAATCAACAATTCATCAACAATCTGTGTCTCTCACTATTTCGTAAGGTTAGTTGGGTAGTGAGAGAATCTAGAATGACATTTGCAGTTTGAGTTTGTATTCCTAGTGAATTTTAGTTGACTGTGCGAAGTGAACAAGATATTAGTACTTCAGACTAAACCAGGTAATGGTTTAATTTGTGAGGTTTTTCATGATCTTGCAGTGGCTCTTTGGTAGAAAACAAGAAGCTGAAGTAGGACCGTTTTCAGCATGGAATATTACTGGCACATATAAAGGTTTGTGGCATGTCTTTCGTCATTTTTTCTATAACTTCTTGCGACTTCAGGATTATCTACTGTGTTGTGGGTATATGTCTATTGTGTTATGTTTTAGACTACTTATCAAAAGTGGGTATCTCAGGAACTTGGAAGTTTCTGAATTCCGTAAATAGCTCTTCAAAATTCCAAGACTTTCAAAAAGAAATGGTAATTCTGTCGTTGAGTTAGTGGCAGTTCCAACAAAGATAACTGGTGTGCATTATGTTCAGGTGAACAGTTCGGCTTCTAAAGTCTGTATTTTGGGATTCCCGTTGATCTTGTAGCATGCAATATTTGAGCTTATAACAACGTTCATGGATCAGGATGTTGGCAGCACAAAGATAAAACGTTGAACCACGGATCATCCGAAAATGGTAAAATCTGTTTATTTACCGTATCATACTTTAACTCTAGATAATAAGGTTGTATGAATTAACTAAGTAGGTGCAAGTTAATCGAACCGAATATGCATTTCTGTAAGAAGCAGCTTCATTGTTCTCCATCAATGTCTCGGTAATAAACTTTGTTGCTTTCTGCCATAATGTAGAATCTGCTGCAAACAAGCTCAATAGTCAATACGCAGATGTGTAGTTTTTCAGCCTATCAACTTCTGTCTTCTCTCTCATCAATATTCAACATTGATACACATTTGTTTTAAGTAAGCATCACCCTATAACTTAATGGACCGCCTTCTCATTGTTTGCCACATCTGCTTTTGTCTACTGGTTCTGTTGTGTTGCCTTGACACTTGAAAATCATCTGCAGAACCATTCTAAGTCATAGCAAATTAGCAATCTGAGGGTCCTGTTACTTTAGGATCCTGAACAGAAATAGTAGAGATGATGTGTATGCACTGTATCAACCTGCAAGATAGAACAACTGAGAAATTTTCTTCTGCAATTTGTATTTTCGAGTTAAGAAACCGATGAGCATGAAAATATATAGAAATCCTGAGAATCAACAATTCATCAACAATCTGTGTCTCTCACTATTTCGTAAGGTTAGTTGGGTAGTGAGAGAATCTAGAATGACATTTGCAGTTTGAGTTTGTATTGCTAGTGAATTTTAGTTGACTGTGCGAAGTGAACAAGATATTAGTACTTCAGACTAAACCAGGTAATGGTTTAATTTGTGAGGTTTTTCATGATCTTGCAGTGGCTCTTTGGTAGAAAACAAGAAGCTGAAGTAGGACCGTTTTCAGCATGGAATATTACTGGCACATATAAAGGTTTGTGGCATGTCTTTCGTCATTTTTTCTATAACTTCTTGCGACTTCAGGATTATCTACTGTGTTGTGGGTATATGTCTATTGTGTTATGTTTTAGACTACTTATCAAAAGTGGGTATCTCAGGAACTTGGAAGTTTCTGAATTCCGTAAATAGCTCTTCAAAATTCCAAGACTTTCAAAAAGAAATGGTAATTCTGTCGTTGAGTTAGTGGCAGTTCCAACAAAGATAACTGGTGTGCATTATGTTCAGGTGAACAGTTCGGCTTCTAAAGTCTGTATTTTGGGATTCCCGTTGATCTTGTAGCATGCAATATTTGAGCTTATAACAACGTTCATGGATCAGGGTGTTAGTTGTTTTCCATGACGTATTTGACAATGAACAAAATGTGGGTGGTGCCCAAATAAACCTGGAAGGTGTATATATATGGCCCTTTAGGCAACTCCTCCTTGTGGCTAACAGGTACTAACTTTTGATTTATTTAACTGCTCTTAAGATTTATTATTGAGTCTTAACTCCAAGGTCTGTACATCACTTGACCTAAAACAGCGGCAAAGAGAATGATTCAGGGCAAGAAGACAATAATCTTCTCTCAAATCCCTATCATCTGGTAGTCCTTCAGACTCTTGTTTCACCCACTTTAGGCAATGATAGTGCTTTCTTCTGCCGATGGCTTGTTTGATGTGTTATTAATGTTCCAAGAGCTTACTAGTGTCAACTTTCTGTTGTTGTACAGCTTGGAATTATCTCCTCTCAAGTCTTTCAAGAATCTGCAAGAGACAGATTACTGAAACGGAAACTTTTCCAATACGGTTTACTTTTCAGCTACTCTGATCTTCGATTCTCTTGTACTTCAGCTCCAGTACTAAATGAGATGGAGAAGCACTGTAATATCGAAATAGCAGCTCAAGTATCCCGTGTGGCTTCTAGTGAAAATAGTATGCATTCTGACTTTAAACGTCGAGGTGATCCTGGCGTAATCTTACTTTGAGGGGCTTTTCCATATTTTGGTAGATGGAGACAAAAATTATTATCGCATGGAAGGATTGATGGAGAGTCCTGGGGTACGCGATGACTGAGATTGTTTCTCGCCTTTGTTACCGAATGCAACTTCTGTAAATGTCGAAGTCAACTATGAAATTTGTATGGGATGCTGCTTCGTCCTCCTCTGATCTCAAGTTCTATGTTTTCAGGGAATTTCTACCTCAAGACAATTGCAGGCGAGTGAAGAGCCTGTATCATCACCTTTGTCATCTCCAGCTCTGTTGGGTAGTGGAAAAGAAGATGAGCAGAAGATTATCCCAAAGCGTCAGAAAGTTCAGGCTGTCCTCAAGTCCATGAAGCAGGTGTCTTCTTTAACTCCTAGAACACTTGTACTTTTCAGATGATCCTGCTCCATTTCGTTTAATATATGTTTCCATCTCAATCTAGTTATATGGGCTGTATAATGTGCCCAACCTTGCTTGTTTTCAGAGTCCTAGGAAGGTCAACCTGGTTGCAGCACTAGTCCGTGGCATGCGTGTCAAACGGGCTTCACAAACCGTGTACCGGGTAATCTCTGAGCTCCGAGTTTTAAAAAAAAAAAACACTTTTGGAGTGTCTAGTCTAATCTCCTCTCCAGACATTTGATAACTTTCCTCATCTAGCTAATGATACTTAGCATACAACTTGTTATCTTAATGCAATGCTTAAAGGAGTTAAATACATTATAATGCAGGTTATCCACGCTGCCCTGGGAAATGCTACTCATAATCATGGACTAGATCCTGACCGTCTCCTTGTTGGTATGTACTATATAGCTAGTGATACTGGATCCATGATCTCCTTGTTTTGCTTTAAAGAAGAGAACGTGATATGTCAGAGAAAATTTGTCGATTGGTACTTTAAAGAAGTAAACATGATATGCCAGAAATTAAGATGTATTGCAGCTAAGCTTTTGATATGTGATTGCAACGTAAGCATTTGTTGGGAAGGGACTCATGAACTTACTTTATAGTTTGTACTTGATCCTGATTGCTTACCCTCCAAGTTTCCATTTGTTCTCCGAACTTCAAAATATGGAAACCACACATAAATGATTTTATCCTTCGAAAAGCTTCTGAAGAATTCGTTAAATTATCTCATTAAATAAAAGCCTGGAAAATCTAAAACCCACAAAAGCCCCTTTGAAAGAAAAGAAAAAAACCAATTAGTCGAATAAAGCCTCAAACCCTAAGTATATACAGTATATATATATATATATATATATTTAACCTACGAGAGCGTGTTACATACCAAACCCTACATATTATTATATAGACCTAATTAAACTCGCTCATTGAGTACAAAATCAAAATCAATATTCTGCACGGAACCCGTCTCAAACCTAAACTCTTTCTTTCAAACTTCATCCCGATCACGTCGAGATCGTCAATATGGTTCTCGAATGGGTAGTCTCAAGCTACACCGCGGTGGCTAAAGCGATCATGGTTCTCTTCTCGCCTCGAAATATCATTCGTTGGGAACTGGAACAGATTTACGAGACAGCTAAAAAGGAGATGGCCTCCTTGGAACGTAAGTGGGAAGAGCAGATCGAGACAACTAAAAAGGAGATAGCTTCCTTGGAACGTAAGTGGGAAGAGCAGATCAAGACATGTGAAAAGGTGGACGAGCTGATCGAGACATGTAGATTGATCTTGGAACAGCAGAAGAAGAAATACATATTGATCTCTTACGCTGTAAGGAACTCATCATCTTAATTCTCAATTATTTTACAATGGCCTGGGGTTTTGTTCTGATTACACAAAATTCTTTTAAAGTAAACTGTGATTCTTGTTTATGATCAGATTACCTCCCCATCAATGTCTTTCTTTGATTTACTTCTAATATGCTAATGTTCACATGCAGTTAACCGAGATTAAATCCATGGCTTCACGAACGGGGTTGGATCCTCAGGAAATTAAAGAAATGTGCAGAAATCTTGAAAGCAAACAAGTAATCTATTTACAATATTTATTACAAACCACGACCACCTAATCAATCACTTTTCTTTAATCTTATTATTATCTGAAACATTTTTTTTTTTTTTTTTTTTTTTTGGGTTAAAATTTATAATCTCAGGATGAGATTCTCGAGATACTGGGGCGCAACTAAGTCAAGCTACATACGTTCAATGCAAGACAAGCACTAGAGTTGAAAGGCTTCCAACCTCCACTTTGATGGTTTTTTATTTATTTTTTTCTTCTTCTTTTTATAGAACGATTTCTTTTATTTTATTGTAAGAACTTACTTATGCTAATTACGATGTTAGTTTTTAGTAGTAGCGATGATGGTTTATAGTGTTTTTTTTTTTTCTTCTCTTAATTGACGTTTACACCATGAACAACAAGATTGATGAGTTTTGTCCATCAAAAGTAATAGTACAAAGCAAACTATTCATTGACTCAAATTGTTTTTTCAGAAATGTCGTAGTTAAGCTTTAGTAGCATCATGAGGCTTGACTAAATGTGAAGTGACCGGTTTAGTGAAGGAAAGTCAGGGTTCTAATTGGAGTTACGTAATTTATATTTGGGCAATTTTGTAATATAGGTAAAGATCTTTTGGGTGTGATTTAATTTATTTGAAAAGTTGTGGAGAGATGTAAATATTAGAGAACTTGGAGGGGTTTTCCAAGAAGGTTTGGGATTTTAGAGGTCCTCTCTGCGACGTCGTTTCCAGTTTTGTTACGAAGCTCGAGAAGAGAGAATCTATGTCGAACCAAAACGAACCAGCCAGGGCTCTTCTGCCTTACCTGCAACGTGCCGACGAGCTGCAGAAGCATGAACCATGATCTATCTGTGCTAGTTTTTGTTTAATTGGACTTGTTTTGGTGGGCTTTTTTGTGATTGATTAGGTCGGCTATATGCCATGGAACGAGGATTGAAGATTCCGCAGAGCGAGAGAACTAAGACCACCAATTCGATTCTTATGTCTCTCTCATTAATCAACTTGAAAAGGTATTAACCTTAAATTCTGAGTTTTTTTTTTTTCTGATTTATGTCAGCTTTTTTGATTTCTTACTTGTTTAGGATTGAAAGGACTGATTCTTAAAAATTCTCATGGTATGTTTGGCTTTGATTATTCTATGTTGTTACAAAGCTGGAGATTCTATGTTCGGTAAGGAGGCTTATATCTTAGTTTAGCTTAGGTTGGTTCTTGTGATTGGGAAAACGTATGTGAAGCAAGAACACTTGTACATTGCAATCTCTGGTCATTCTCTTTGTTCTATAGTAGTTCCAGTTTCTTATGGCCATTTTTTTTTTGTGTAACTCCAGGATAAGAAATCATTGAATCTGTCCCCAGATGACAATATGCATGTGGAGGGGTTTGCACTAAGTGTCTTTGCAAAGGCAGACAAGCAGGATCGTGCAGGAAGAGCTGACTTGTAAGAATTTTTTTTATGTCTTATGTTTCGATTATCATATTTAATGGCATATGACAATGGTAAGTTTCTAATAATGTTAGGGTTACCGTCAACACTAGCTCAATGAGTCGAATTATCATGCATCTGTAGATTCACTATCTGTCTAGTATTATTGTGTTTGCAATACTGGAAATAGCATATAAGAACATACACTTACGATAAGTATGCAGATCTGGCATACATGTTTTTTGGTGATACCTTCCTCTGACATTGTCTGATGATGACTTTCATGTTCTACTAATATATGTATTTATCTAAATAGAATATAGATGTAAGATAGCGGGTTAAGTAATTAGTTGGATGCATCCAAGGCATATCTCGACCTGTTGGCTTCTAGCCGTTCTGCTTTTGCAAAATACTTGCATCTCCAGCCTTGATGTGTTGCTTTGCATGGTTTGATACTGATATTAGTTCAATAACTGTCCATACCTGCATACATGTGACTCCATTACAGAGGCTTGCCATGGATAATCCATATTAACTTTGTTGTGCTTGTGACAGGGGCACTGCCAAAACTTTTTATGCTGCGGCAATCTTCTTTGAAACTCTGAGCCAGTTTGGCCCTGTACCTCCTGATGTGAGTTCTTACATTTTTTTCATTCACTTATCATCTCAAACCGAAAACTAGCACCTTAAGAGGCAGCTGTGTTAGGAGATTGATATATGTATATGTAATGGTTTCCATTGACAGATAGAGCAGAAACAGAAGTACGCTGCTTGGAAGGCTGCTGACATAAGGAAAGCCATTAAAGAAGGAAGGAAGCCCACTCCAGGTGATCCTGTTGATGATGATAATGATTTACCCATCCCATCAAGCGGTCCTAGTGGCTCCTATGTAAGTTTCTCTTCTCGGAAATTTGTGGGTTGGAAATATCTTGATATTGGCTTAGCGTGTATTCTCTCCAATAATATCGAAGAGTGTTTAAGTGCATAAATGTCTATAGAATTTGTATAACGCTGACTTTCTAGCTAGAGACACACAAATTCACACCCACCTGTGTACTTCTAGGTTTTTGTTTTTTTTCAACTGTCGAAACACTATGATAGAACATCTGCATCAACTTAATCGATTCATCGTTTGTGTATGTTGATTATCTACAGGATCACGGTGCAAGTGATTCCAACACATCAACTCATCATAGAACAGAGCCTGATCTATCTCATGACTCGAATGATGACTCCAACCACCATCACTTCCCTGAAGTGCCACAACACCCTCTACCAATGATTATCCCACAGATGTCCCGCCTCCACCACCGTCTTCTTACCCTTCCAACGATCTCCTTCCCCCTCCCACGGGACCATCAGACTCCCCTTACCAGCATCCTTACAGTCATCAACCATACCACCAAGACCCGTCACAACACATGCCGCCACCACAAAACTACTCAGCCCATGAGCCTTCTCCAAATTCTCTCCCCAATTTCCAATCTTATCCTAGCTTCAGTGAGAGCAGCCTCCCATCCACTCCTCCCCACTACCCTTCTCACTACCAAAACCCAGAACCTTACTATTCTTCTCCGCATTCCGCACCTGCTCCTTCTTCCGCAAGCTTCTCCTCTGCTCCTCCTCCTCCACCTTACTCATCAAACGGGCGTATCAATATTGCTCCTGTGCTAGATCCTGCACCGAGTCCAGCTCAGAAGTACCATTACGACAGCAGCTACCAGCCAGGGCCTGAGAAGGTTGCAGAGGCACACAAGGCTGCTAGATTCGCTGTGGGAGCTTTGGCTTTTGATGAAGTCTCGACTGCTGTAGAACATCTCAAGAAGTCACTTGAGTTGCTAACAAATCCATCGGCCGGTGCCGGTCACTGAATTTTATATTTAATCTGTGAAACTTGGGGTTGATGTTAGTGCGTGTGTGTGCTCACAATCACATCGTGGGTTTGTTTATTAACTTTTCAGGCTCAGACTTCGTGTACAAAGAAAAATGGTGTGAATTATTCTTACTATCAGAAACTTTTCCTTGCAACTTTAGTGTGCATAGAGTGTGATGATGATCTTTTTATTTATTTATTTAATTTATTAACACGTCGATCAATAGTTTTCATATTTTTAGCCATTAAAATGGCATATAGTTTTCTCGATAAGTAATTATGTGCGATGAATGTTATGAAACAAATTATAGTCACTAGCATATTTTTTTTTTTTTTTTTTTTTTGTCAACAGCATATTATCACTATAATTTTGTAGTATCTTTTATTTAACGCATGTTTTATTCGGTTGCCTACATTATATTAAAAAAACTAATAGCAAGTGATATTTTTTCGTAAAAATATACAAGTTATTGATTTTTCGACCAAAATAAAAAGAGCAGTTCTTTTTTTCTTTTCTAAAACAATATTTTACATCTTTGCAAGTGCCATTATGTGAATGAACTAATTAAACAACAATCTACACAAATTTGTAAAAAAACCAAAAAAAAAAAAAAAACTCAAAATCCACCAGAATTTTGTTATTGGGCCTAACTATCATATATAAGCCTAAGTTTCTAAGCGATGCCAAAGGGAAAAAACCTAGTTTCTAACGCCACCGCCCTCTCTCCCCTTCCAGACTCGTTCCATATCCAACTTTTTCTTCTTCACATCCGTTTCCATGGTGATGTTGTCAAATGTACAAGGCTTTTTAAAGGGAATCAATCTCCATCGAAGGTTCTTCTTCGCCGTCTCGTTACTGTGTCCAGCCGGTTATGGATCCGGATTGCTTTGGGCCGGATCCGGATAGTGATAATGTGGATCCGGCCGGATCCGTCTCACGTACTAAGTACGGTGTGCGCGAAACACTTGATTAGAGCCCTCCCAAGATACACGTTGGCATATTGGGGATTTCTTCTGCTCACCATAACAAACAATCATTTTCTCACCATAACGAAGAAGGAGAAACAGAGAAACGAGAATGAGGTTCCTCGTCGGCTTCACTGTTTTACTTACCTCCGTCATCGCTCTCTTAATCTACGGCGCCACTTCACCGGCGAATCTTACCGGCGACGATTTCAAGTTCCCTGCCCCTTCTATCATCCGCGTCTTCTTCAACGGCGCCAGTTCACCGGCGAATCTTACCGATCGAACATACTCGCTCCACTACGACTACTACTGTGAATCTTGCCCCAGCGTTACCGCTCCTTCTATCATCCGCGTCTTCTTCACTCTTACCGGCGATGATTTCAACTTCCCTGCTCCGTCTATCATCCGCGTCTTCTTCAACGGCGCCAGTTCACCGGCGAATCTTACCGGCGATGATTTCAAGTTCCCTGCTCCGTCTACCATCCGCGTCTTCTTCAACGGCGCCAGTTCACCGGCGAATCTTACCGATCGAGCTTTCTCGCTCCACTACGACTACTACCGTGATTCTTGCCCCAGCGTTACCGCTCCGTCGATCATCCGCGTCCTCTTCTCCGATTGCTTCATTGAGGTAAGATTTTCTCATTTTTGGTTCTCCGTTTCTTCTACATTTTGATTTCGCTACTATCTGTCTACGGGTGATTGTTTGGGATCTCGTTTCGTTAGTGTTGTGTTGTGATCTATCTGTCTCAGAATTTTGGCTGTGGAATCTCTGATTTGATGTTATTAGCATAATTTGTTAATGGAATGCTGTGTTTCTTTAGCATTTACTTGGATTTTTGCTCACGTTAAAATCATAATTTGTGAATCGAATTCTGTGTTTCTTTAGCATTTACTTGGATTTTTGCTCACATGTAGTGAAAATAGAAACTTAGAAGTGTGTTTCCTTTTTTCTCTATGCATTTCAGGCTTTAAAGAGTGTAAGTGTGAAGCATTATGAGCTTTGTATAGGGCAGTCAGTATTTAAGATCTTAACAAGTGTGTTTTGTGCTACAGGGATTCGCAGATGAAACACTCTCTACTGAGAACAATGCATCTCCAAACCTTTCCTTGAAAGGGTTTGATGTTATTGACGCCATTAAGTCTGAGCGGGAGTATGTTTCTCCTGGAGGTCTTTCCTGTGCCGAGCTTCCTGTCTTTCTCGAGCTTCCTCTCTTCCCTGCTAGAGAAGCCGCCCTAGTGGTAATTCTCGCTGTCTCACTCTTCTGGATTGATCATGTTGATGTTTCTACAACGCTTTAATCATATCTTTTTGATTTTCAGGCTGGTACTCGAGTATATCGTCTGGTGACTGTAAGAAAATTCAGTGCAGTGGCCTTCAAGCTTCCTGCACCACAGGCTACTCTCTCTCTCCTTCTTGCAAGTGCTGCTTCCAGAGTATTCAGCGAGAGAGAAACCGTCATTTTATCCGGTAATTCTCACTTGTAAACGTTAACTTCTCTCTCTGTTTAGCTAAATCTGGTTGTATTCCGTATTCCTCACTTCTTGGAAATGCTAACTCGTTATGTTCCTAATGTAGGTGCTCACAGCTTAGGCATTAAGCACTGCACTTTTTTTGAGAACAGCCTCTACAACTTCTCAGGAACCGGGAAGCCTGACACTGAGCTAGCGGATGCTTGTCTAGGAGTTGTTTCCTGTTCCAGCCTTGTCCTGGGTGCTAGAGAAGCCGGCCTTCTGGTAAATTCTCGCCCCTCTCTTTCTCTCTTGGTTATTTTTGATTTCGCTACTATCGGTCTATGGATGGATGATTGTTTGGGATCTCGTTTCGTTAGTGTTGTGCTGTGATCTATCTGTCTCAGAATTTGACTATGGGATCTCTGATTTGATGTTGTTAGCATAATTTGTTAATGGAATGCTGTGTTTCTTTAGCATTTGGTGTTGTTAGCATATTCTGTGTTTCTTTAGCATTTACTTGGATTTTTGCTCACGTTAAAATCAGGTAGTGAAAATAGAAACTTAGAAGTGTGTTTCCTTTTTTCTTTATGCATTTCAGGCTTTAAAGAGTGTAAGTGTGAAGCATTATGAGCTTTGTATAGGGCAGCCAGTATTTAAGACCTTAACAAGTGTGTTTTGTGCTACAGGGATTCGCAGATGAAACACTTGCTACTGAGAGCAAATCATCTCCAAACCTTTCCTTGAAAGGGTTTGATGTTATTGACGCCATTAAGTCTGAGCGGGAGTATGTTTCTCCTGGAGGTCTTTACTGTGCCGAGCCTCCTGTCTTTTTCGAGCCTCCTGTCTTTCGCAAGTTTCCTCGCTTCCCTGCTAGAGAAGCCGCCCTAGTGGTAATTCTCGCTGTCTCACTCTTCTGGATTGATCATGTTGATGTTTCTACAACGCTTTAATCATATCTTTTTGATTTTCAGGCTGATCCTCGAGCATATCCTCTGGTGACTGTAAGGAAAAAACATGTTGATTGTTTCGGCTGTGTTAGCTGCATCGGTTTTGGGGCTGTGTTAGCTGCATCGGGAATGCTGGGAGTAGGATATGTTTGGATCAAATTTCAGGTTACTATTCTCTTTCGCTTTATGACAGTAATAAATATTAGCCTCTTAACTATTCTTCCCCCCCTTGCAGAGATGGTTAAGCTCCTATCGTAGAGATATGAATGCTTTTTCCAAACATTTGGATGAAAAGAATAAATGAGGCGGCGCTCAAACTTGATGAAATAGGCAGAGATGCCGAACAGACAAGAAATGTGGTTGCTGATATAAATAGTCAGGTAACGTTATCGATCTTGTTACATTTGGCCTTTTTATTTTTGGTCATATCCTTGTGTAATGTTTTTCTGTTATCTACTAAGTTCAGATCAGGGATTTGCGTGAAGAAATGAGAGCTGGTTTTGCACAAGTGGCCGATAGAGGTGATCAACAGTTGATTTTGGACATTCTGTCTCATATCTCTTCACAAATTGGTGTAGACGTCCAACATTTGGCGGGTGGAGGCGGTGACGTCCAGCCTGTGGCGCATGGAGGCGGTGACGTCCAGCCTGTGGCGCATGGAGGCGGTGACGTCCAGCCTGTGGCGCATGGAGGCGGTGACGTCCAGCCTGTGGCGCATGGAGGCCGTATCTTGACTATTACCCAGGGAATAAGATCTGTCTTACCAGAATCTTCGGTCGTCAGCATTAGCGACTTATATGTTACGCAAGTCCGTCCAGTTTGTTGTCGAATGAATTCTTGGACTTGTTTCTGGTCATATGATTTGCTGAACGGTTGTTCATAGTTTGAGGATTCTTCTAAGTTTGAGATTGTCTGCATTTTTTTTTGCAAAATTGAGGTGATTAGAGTAAAATGTGTGGTGAAGGATAATCCAGGAGTAGAGTAGCTTTGGTCTAAATTTCATCTTTTGATTGAATTGGGCAAGCTGAATATGATCTAATTGATCGCATCAGTATCCAAGCTTTGTTTTGGCGGTGAATACTCTGAGATGTGTAAGAATGAATCTAGAATCTAGAATGATAAAAAAATAGTCTTACTTCGAGTTCATCTACTCATCTTTGGTAAGCAGGCCACACTATCAAGTATCAGTTAAACCGGGAAGTGTTTGGGTTTCAAAATTAACTTGGTAAGTTAAAAACTTAAAACACACATCCACCGTTTTTAGATAGTTATTTGCTATAAGAGGATCCCCTAATAAACCACGTTAATGTTAGTTGTCTTACAAATTCATTCATCTATAAACCAATGTATGTACATCTCAAAGTCTGTATTAACCATTTATTCGGTTTTCGGTCGGTTTTGGTCTTTATATCGAGAACAAGTGAAAACGCGAAAACTTTTTGGATATCGTTCGGATTGGTTACGTATTCTCCCAAAGTAACCAAAAAATCCAAAAATATCTTAAATACTCGAAAAACATTATAATTGTTTCATCCAATTATATTCAAATATATCAAATTTACCCAAAAAAGTATTTGATATACCCGGAAAAAATTATAGGTAAATTACCCGAATATATCCAAATCTACCCGAACTACTAAGAGTAGTTGATGTATCCGAAAAAATGAGTTTATAATTGTAGTTTTGGATATTTAGATTAATTACAAATATAATTATGATCTACTAAATTTTGTCGGTTTTCCGTTCGAGTTCGGATCTTTTTTTTCGTTTTGGTTTAGGGTCGGATCTTTGGCTCCGAGTGTTTTGCTCTAACCTAGTTACAATCATTAATAGATCATAAAATAGAAATGTTATTTTCAAATAGGCTCAAGTTACATACAAGTTATGAGTTAAATAAAGATGTTATTTCCAACGGTGATGAGTTTAAGACTATTCCACGCCTGTACTCAAAAAGTTTCTTCAACTATTCATTAGCAGTAACGAGTTCAAATTTGAAAAAGAGAAAGAAAAAGAAAAACGTTCTCTGTAAAATTCTCAAGTCCATCTTTAACGGTCAAATTTAGTCGGCCAGCAGACAAACTCTCAAGTCCGATCAGAAACGAGAACAAAAGAGAAGAGATTGAATTTTGGTGGCACCATGTTCAAGAGAGACGACTACATTCTGGCAGGTACTCTCTGAAGAAATCCCTCTCGGATTTCAAGAAATTTAGTGATTCTGGGGTTAGGGTTTTGCTCCATCTTTCATTCCATTGAAACCCTTCGAGATCAACAGAATTTCGAATGAAATCTCTTGGAAATTTGTGGAATTTGATTTAAAGATCCCATTTTTAACGCCTGCAACACTTTTCTTCAACGTTTCTTTGTTGGGTCTCCAGGGATTCTGAGTAATTTCATTTGATGTTTCTGGGATTTTTTTCAGGGTTTCGCCCGATCCATGCTTCTGCGTAAACCCATTTCAGAAACTGCAGAATTACGCAAGACTTTTGCGGACTACTCCTTAATTTCTCGAGATTTAGGTCCAAAGGTCTCATTTTTAATCTCCTTCATCACATTATAACTTGTATCTTTGTTGGATAGTAGTTAACTAGGTGACTTAGTCTCATGTTTGCCGTCAAGAAGTTGGAAACACACACATTTTTTAATGTCAAAACTTATACTTTGAACACAGATTCTGATAGGAGCCAACGATAAGGACAATTTCAGAAAAGAGAAAGATCGTGTAGGTAGTAGATACAGAGTCCAAGGAGCCTTCCCGGGTCTGTATGAGCTCGGTCATGACCATGGCCGAAAAGATGATGTTCTTGTGGCTAATCTTGGTCAACCTGAAAGCATTAGATCTCGGCTCCGGTCTTAGACTACATCTTTTGCTCATCATGACTTTCTGGAGCAGGGTTTGTCTCAAATAATTCTTCCTACTGCTCATAACAAAAGTGGCAACCGAACTGAAGAGAAGAAGTATGATTCTGCAGAAGAGAGAGAGGTCAGTTCTGATGCAGCTGAGAAGGAGATTAATTCTCTTCCATCTATACTTAGACTCAGTCCGTCCAGACCTCAACCGGTTTCAGAGAGACATGATGACATTGTTGATGAGTCTGACTCTGCTTCTGTTTGTGGAGTCTTACTAGAAGATGGTACTACTTGCACTACAATTCCAATCAAAGGAAGAAAGAGATGCGCAGAGCAAAGGGAAGAAGCTTTCACGTGTTTCCCCCGAAAATCACATACCGTGTGAAGTTCCCACCGCAAGAGAATCCAAAGAAACTGAGGATACATGTGGAGTGATTTTACCTGATATGGTACGTTGCAGAAGAAAACCTGTTTCAAGGAGAAAACGATGCGAGGATCACAAGGGAATGAGAGTTAACGCCTTCTTCTTTCTGCTGAACCCAACAGAACGTGATAAAGCAGTCAAAGAGGATAAATCCAAATCCAAGAGGCATGAACCAAGAGGGTTCAAGTCCGGGTTTTTTTTTTCTGTGAAGCTACAACAAAGAATGGTTTGCCTTGTACGAGAAGTGCTCCTGAAGGGAGCAGAAGATGTTGGCAGCACAAAGATAAAACGTTGAACCACGGATCATCCGAAAATGGTAAAATCTGTTTATTTACCGTATCATACTTTAACTCTAGATAATAAGGTTGTATGAATTAACTAAGTAGGTGCAAGTTAATCGAACCGAATATGCATTTCTGTAAGAAGCAGCTTCATTGTTCTCCATCAATGTCTCGGTAATAAACTTTGTTGCTTTCTGCCATAATGTAGAATCTGCTGCAAACAAGCTCAATAGTCAATACGCAGATGTGTAGTTTTTCAGCCTATCAACTTCTGTCTTCTCCTCATCAATATTCAACATTGATACACATTTGTTTTAAGTAAGCATCACCCTATAACTTAATGGACCGCCTTCTCATTGTTTGCCACATCTGCTTTTGTCTACTGGTTCTGTTGTGTTGCCTTGACACTTGAAAATCATCTGCAGAACCATTCTAAGTCATAGCAAATTAGCAATCTGAGGGTCCTGTTACTTTAGGATCCTGAACAGAAATAGTAGAGATGATGTGTATGCACTGTATCAACCTGCAAGATAGAACAACTGAGAAATTTTCTTCTGCAATTTGTATTTTTGAGTTAAGAAACCGATGAGCATGAAAATATATAGAAATCCTGAGAATCAACAATTCATCAACAATCTGTGTCTCTCACTATTTCGTAAGGTTAGTTGGGTAGTGAGAGAATCTAGAATGACATTTGCAGTTTGAGTTTGTATTCTAGTGAATTTTAGTTGACTGTGCGAAGTGAACAAGATATTAGTACTTCAGACTAAACCAGGTAATGGTTTAATTTGTGAGGTTTTTCATGATCTTGCAGTGGCTCTTTGGTAGAAAACAAGAAGCTGAAGTAGGACCGTTTTCAGCATGGAATATTACTGGCACATATAAAGGTTTGTGGCATGTCTTTCGTCATTTTTTCTATAACTTCTTGCGACTTCAGGATTATCTACTGTGTTGTGGGTATATGTCTATTGTGTTATGTTTTAGACTACTTATCAAAAGTGGGTATCTCAGGAACTTGGAAGTTTCTGAATTCCGTAAATAGCTCTTCAAAATTCCAAGACTTTCAAAAAGAAATGGTAATTCTGTCGTTGAGTTAGTGGCAGTTCCAACAAAGATAACTGGTGTGCATTATGTTCAGGTGAACAGTTCGGCTTCTAAAGTCTGTATTTTGGGATTCCCGTTGATCTTGTAGCATGCAATATTTGAGCTTATAACAACGTTCATGGATCAGGATGTTGGCAGCACAAAGATAAAACGTTGAACCACGGATCATCCGAAAATGGTAAAATCTGTTTATTTACCGTATCATACTTTAACTCTAGATAATAAGGTTGTATGAATTAA